GTCACTAGAATGCAGCAGCTGAGGCCACAACATTCTCCTCCCTCCTACTATGGGAAGGTAGCTATGGGCCAGGGGCCCCACTGCATGTGGTTGGTTTGGTCTTCCTACCTTGTACCCCAGTACCTAGGTTTAGGCGGAGGGGGAGGGCGATTACGATTGGGAACACGCAGTGGAGGAGGAACTACCAGTACCCACGGGAAGCAACTTGACGACTTTTATTTCGACCAGTCCCTTCATTTTTGGCCCCTTCTGTCCTGTCCCACATGGATTGCCAGCTTCGTGAGAAAGTAGGATCTCCTGTAAGCCATCGGCTCATCTGCTGCCATTCACACACATGCGGACCACATTTCTGGTAGGGTCGGTCTTCTTCGTTGCAGTCCGGATAGCCGTGGTGGAAGTAACGAAAGAGCTCATGCTCACTCAATCTCGTGAGTTCCTGCCTATACGAAAGAAGGAATCACCCCATTCTGTTCATAACCCAGAGGTCAGCCAACTAGCGATGATTGTACTCTCTGTTTGGGCATTGCCCTTGGCAAAGTTGTCAGCTGCAGCGGCAAGCCGAGACCAGCGGGGGTGTGGGGCTGGTTGGCTGGTTGGTGGGTTGAATGGTTGGGTGGTTGGTCGGTTGGCTTTGAAAAAAGCAAAGGCGCGGAGGGCGCAGCGCCTCCCCCCGCAATGCAAACCAAAAATGGATGGGTCGATGGTTCTGTGGGTGTGTCGAAATGAGGTGCGTGTGGGTGTGTGGGTTGGTTGGTTAGTGGGTTGATGGTGGGTTGGCAGGTTGGTTAAAAAATCTGAAGGGGGGCGGGGGAGGGCGCAGCGCCCGTTTCAGACAATGACGTGTGACCATCCTCCCCTGTGATCACCCAACCAACCGCCCACGACTTGCCACACAAACATATCACGCCACTCTTTGGTTTAGTAAGCTTTCTCGTCTTTGTCGGTCTCTCTTTTCGCCCGTGTCTCTCTCTCATTTCTTTGGGGCTCAAAAAGTACAATTTTGAGGTCGAAAGAACACCTTTCCAATCAACACATACATTTTTGAGGCAATTTTTTCAAATCAAAACATACCGTTTTGGGGTTGAAAAAGTATTTTTCGGCGCTCTCCAATGGTATTTTTTCGAGCTTGAGGTTGAAACAAATACTTGTTTGGGGTTGAACACATACTTGAGGTTAAAAAAATACAATTTTGGGGTCGAAAATATACCCAGCCCAAGGCCCTGTTGAGCATGCATTCCAACAGTCATGAGGACGGTGACAGGATTCAACAAAAGTTTCAACGGATTTGTAACTAGAGATGGCTGTGGAGTGCATGAGCACATGATATAAACGTATCACCACAACCTACCAGGTCTCAAGCTGAGCGAGAAAAGGTGCCCGGCGGTTTTCAGGCTTGTTTTTTGCACGCGGCTCGTCTTCTTCGCTGACTGTACTGCTTCAACACCCGCTGAAAATGTTATCCTGGAGCTTTGGAAGAACTTGTTGTTCTGAGTGCTGGGGTTGTCCTCTGAGGAGGAGGACGGGATGTAAAGCGCTTTAAATTCGCCGTGCTGCTGGGCTTCTTCCTGGTCACAAATGCTGCACTGACGGATATGATTGAGAATTGGGGAGTGGTGGCGATTGTTCCAGTAGTGGCGATCACAATTCAGACCTTTTGGAGTCGGGCTTCCGCGTCCGTGGTCATTGATGCGCGAGGAGGGCTCACTGGTGGCTTTGGTTTGGCTGCGTTTGTAGGTCGTTTCAACAGTGATCGATCACTTAACAGTGGTCGACTCCTGGTCGGCCGACGGTTGCAGTGCTTCGAGCCAGTGCCCTTGATTGGGTTGCCACATAGGTTGGCAAACATGTTTCATTTTTCTGTCAAGTGGCAGGAGTGTTTCCAGGGTCCAATCGCTGATGAGCCCTTCAGGGTGATGGAGTTCAGGCGATTGTTAAAAAAGTGAATGTGCGGGAACACTTTTGCCTGGAGTGTTGACACAGGAGTGTCCGAAAAGAGTGTCCTACAAGAGTTTCCTACAAGAAAGGCACGCAAGAACGAATTTCCGAGTGTCCCATAAGAATGTTGCACGGGAGTCCCACAAAAGTGTCCACAAGAGTGTCTCCTACAAAAGTGTCCCAGAAGAGTGTCCGCAAGAGTTTTGCACGAGAGTGTCTTACAAGCCCGCAAGACTGTCCCACAAGAGTGTCAAGTAGCTCAGAGTCAAGTAGCTCAAAGTCTGGCAGTTTCGGAACGAAACTCGTCAGACGCCAGAACTGCTCAAGAAATGCACCAATCCGCACTTCTCACTTCAAGAATTGCATTGGATACTCTTTGTACATTAAGCAAATCGTACAGGGTTACTCACATGCCGGTCCCGCCTGGGCCCATGCAGCCACGCTGATTATGGCAGTGCATTTCCACCTCTTCTAATAAAGGGAATGTTTTTTCTGACAAACTCATCGCAAGCAAAGAGAAAAACGTGTCGGGCCATGCGAAGATGTCCAATAACACACTAGCATTGCCGGCACTCTGCATTGCATTTTTCTTATAACATTGCGCCATTTCGATTTGCGTCTGATTGTTGGTGCATGACAGATTTGAACCAATTCTTTCTGTGCTGGATCCGCTCAACTGAAGATGCGCGGGGAGGTCAGGTACCAAATCAGGTGAGGTGAAGAGAAGCGATGCGTTGATCACCAATTCGATTGTTTTTGCCAAGGTAAAGCATCTATTGTGGAATGCTAGGTTGCTAAGGTTAGGGAAGAGCTCCAGGGGTCTTATTCTGTAGAGGAGTGAACAAGATCAGCTTTCCTTCCTGCAGACACATATTGGAAGTTTGTTTTTTGGCTTGTGAGTTGAAGTCTTTTAATTTGCTCACAGTAATTGAGACCCCGCCTGAGAGCTTGCAGATTCATCAGCGCCAACTGGCAGATCGCCAAAAGACCCAGTTGGAATCGTGTGGCTGCACCCTGTCGCGTGGACTACTTCCACCAAAGAAGAAGCACCAACTGCACGCACTGCAGCCTATGCAGCGTGCCCGTAGTTCGCTGTGCAAGATTCTCGCCGAATTCCGCCGCATCACAGGCCAACCCGGCAAGGCATGTTCAAAGTCACTGGTGGTCTTCAAAGAGTCCCGAGGTGCACTCTTGATGTCCTTGACACAGACCTGCGGACGAAGGCCGTAAGAAGGGCCCTAAGGCACTGGAAATGATTAACTTGTTGCTGGGCTACAAGTGTGTCTCCTACAAGAGTGTCCTACAAGAATGTCCCACAAGAACACCGCCTACAAGAGTGTCTTACAAGAGCATTGCACACGAGTGTCAAACAATGTTTGGCCGTTTGTTTTCGAGTGCGCGTGTGCATTCCGGTTGCTGGCTCCATTTTGTTTATTTTCCCCCCCATTGGGTTGTTTTTGTTGTGTTTGCACGGCTTAGCCAAGAGTAGAAGCAGATTTCTGGGACAGGAATAGTAGCCATCTAGCTCGAGCACAGCAGTGACCGCAAAAGAGAGGCAAGCTACACCAGGTTGGGACGTGTGAACTCTAAGTCCTTTAAATGATCACCAATCTGGATGTTCCCACTTGCCCGAAAGCCGGAAAACCACTTCCCTTTGGATGATGTGGAGCGGCAGGCGGCAGGTTGTTTCTTCTAGGTGAATTGCAGAGCAGATCAGAGGCAGCTCCCACAGCTGTGACAGGAGCGACAGTCCTGAGTCTGGAGTCCTGACCATTGGTGGAGTCTGAAATCCCCAGACGTTGGACACGCCGGGTTTGCACGGATGGAAAGCGTTTGGTTGATGGCTTTTTTTCGGCTTTTTTCGGAACCCGCAAAATCCGTGTTCGAAAAAGGTCTCATGAACGGAGAGAACCCCATTTTGGACTCCTGCATGTTTAGCCCTTGATGGTGTCACACTCGATACAGGTGTGCCCTCCATTCACTCCCTAATCCTCAGTTCCGTGAAGGGAGTCCCTTAAAGATTGGGCTTCGAAAGGGTCCCGGAAACTCTAGAGCATGAATTTGCATTTGCCCCTTCTCCAATGGACATAGGGAATAAGGAGATACGGGAGATGTGCTAATTTGACAGGGACAGAAGAGACATTCTGTTGGAAACTGAAAGACCAGACTCGATAGGAACTGTTTGAGGGGAGAGGTTTTTGCCTCCGTGCTGATGCGTTTGAAGAAGTAGTTATTATGTTTTTTTCAGCGTGCACATCCTGGTGTTCGGTAGGTGGACAGTTGTTTTGATCAACTAATCGTGTTTTTTATGGGTGGAACCGGAGACCATGGTGCTCTGGTTGGGTCGTTGGGCCCTGGGGCACTTGGAACTGCCCCAATCCACAGGATCTGGCCAACGACATCAGAGACCATCGGCAGCGGATGGAAGAGAGCCTCAAGGACAGCTCCGTCCCGCTGGACCTATGCGCTGACCTATTCATGTAGAATTCAACATGCTTGTGCCATGCTTCATGTAGTCACGTGTTTGCAGTTCCTGTTATGCCAGGACGCCCCACTTTGGGCGTGCTGTGTGCTGAGGGAGCTCGGGCTCCAGGCCACTGACTCCAATGGCTGTGTGGAAATCCTTAGTGCAACAATGATGGTGGTCGGAAGCCTGGGGTCTTGGAGTATCGTGGACGGGTGTGTGTCGGGCACAATTCGTTGAATGTTGGTTCAAGCATGTTCAAGCCAAGGGAGAGACGGTGGCAGCTGATGACAAGAGACACTCACACGGCAGTTCACCAGATTTTGCCCAGTACCAATGGAAAAACACCTGGGATGACGTTCCTCCACCCAGAGCATTGTAGGGAAGACCGGTTGCTGGTCACTAGGACGTGAGCCCCCCAGTACCTAGTGAATCCCACTTACTCGCCTTTTAGGGAACCAGTATGAACCAGTGGTGGTACATGCTTTGCAAGGCCTGAGTCCATCACCTGTTCTCATAGATCTTCCTTTTCAACCCGACTTGATGTGCTTTGGCACTAGTATATACTTGCGATGGTGTACTCACAGCGTGCGCGTCTTTAATGCAACTCTTGAGCTATTTTGTAGTTGGTTTGACATTGGGAAGTGCCTCTGATGCTTCACTCCACCGAGTCCTCGTGGAATTGGGTCTTCCGGAGCATCAAGCGGAGGAGGCGTTGAAGCAGGGCTGCGCTGCAGAGGGTGTCCGATGCAATGCTCAAGGGCATCTGGTGAGCCTGGCCCTCCCAAATCGCAGTCTTCGAGGGCGACTTTCGAAGGAAGTGGGAGAGCTTCAGTGGTTGCAAAAGCTTGACCTAAGAGCCAACCAGCTAAAGGGCGAAATTCCCAAGGAACTTGGTCAGCTTGAGGCTCTTGAGGAGCTGGACATGTCCGGCAATCTGCTGAATGGCCATGTTCCCAAAGAACTTGGCCGACTGAAATATCTCTGCGAGCTTCACCTCAACAACAACAGCCTCAATGGTGACATTCCGATGGAGCTCAGCCAGCTCCAGTCCTTGCGCGTTTTGGGCCTTGAGGGGAATCAACTGTCGGGCAACATTCCCAGAGAGTTTCGGCAACTTCAACTTCTAAGGGTCTTGGATCTGTCGGGCAACCAGCTGGATGGCGAGATTCCCAAAGAGCTTGGTCAGTTGCAGGCTATCTAATTTTTTCTTTCTTGCTTTTTTGTTGAATCCTGGAAAGCCGAGGATGGCCCAAGGGCTTTTTTCGGGGGGGTATCCACTGTCACTCGCCCATTTTTTTTGCTGACTGACTCTGGAGAACAGTGCGTGCAAACAGGCTCTGGAAGAGCTGCATTTGACGCGGAACCAGTTGACGGGGGATGGTCGAAGCATTTCAGTCCTGATGAACTCCAACGTGTGTCTAGAAGTATTGGATCTCAGCTACAACCTCTTGAGCGGAGAGCTGGATGTAGACGTGTCCGTGGAGGCAGTCAGGGAGCTCCAACACCTGGATCTGAGCCACAATAAGTTTGTGGGTGACATCTCAAGGCTAGTAGACCCATTCTGCAAATCGAATCCTGTGGGAGGATCACTACAAGAACTTCGCCTCAATCACAATGAACTCACAGGAGAGGTGCCACTGTGCTTGATGCAGTTCCAGAAGTTGAACTTCCTTGCCTTAAATAACAACTGGTTGCAAGGCTCACTTCCAGAAGTTAACGCCTCAGAACTGGTTGTCCTGTCTTTGCACAAGAACAAGTTGTCCGGTGTTCTTCCCAAAAGCCTTCACCAACTGAGTCGCCTCGGTGTGTTGACCCTGCACAAGAATTCCATGAGGGGGTCCATCGGTGGCCTGCGCTTAAGTTCCGCGCAGTGTATGGACAATTCCAAGTTCCGGATGGAGGGGCTCCGGTGTGAGGGATGGAGACGATCCTTCGAAGGCTTGCAGTCGGAGGAAGTGGCGGAAGTGGTGGAAGTGGATCGCCTCCGGCAACTGGAAGCTAACTGCCCTACGTTATTTGGATGTTTAAGGAGCGAGGGTACGGCATTCATCACGTTACACCGCAATCGCTTCTCCTGTGCAGTGCCCAAGAACATTGCCACGGGCAAGGTGACCGTGGTGGGTCTGGTCATCATGGGAAACATGCTGGGGGTGGGGCAAGAGCTGAATTCATCTTGGATCCAAGCTGAGGAGAAGCAATCCTTTCTCTACTACTCGCGGGAAGTCGAAAAGTCCAACTTCTATGTGCTTTGCGGCTTTGTGGTTTTGCTCTTCTTTGCTGCTTTGTGTTATCCACAACGGAGGAGGCTTCACCAAGCCTCGCGAAACTTGGATTTCGACAGCACTGCTTGCATTGCATCATCCAGCTTTGCATTGTTGCTCGGTTTTGCAGAGCCATGCTGTTTTTTTTGATTTACTTTTTTTGGTCAATGAACCGTGCTGTAGCGAATGGTTCTGCTTTGGCAAAAAGGTTTTCATAATTTTGAGGCACCGTCGAATGCGATGTCCTCGGATGAAAGTTTCATCCACACATGGTCACAGACCTGGCAGAACACAACACTACTTGCTACCTGCCAACGCCCAGAAGTCCCAAGGCATGATTTGAATGTAGCATGGAAAACTCATGACCGTGAAGACCCTGCTTTTCTCTTCCGACTCACGGAAGCGATTTTGGTTGCTACTGCCCTCACGGATTCTATTCCGATCGCTTCGCGACAACAACCGTCCGCGCCAGTGGCTCTCAGAGGCTAAAAGAAGTATCTATAGTAGCCAGCCGATAGGCATGACTGAGTCCTCGATGGGCGAACGAAGTGGATAATAGGGGTGTGGGGGGCGGGCGGTCGCACTGTACCCGCCGGGTAGGGACAGAAGATAGTGAAAATATATGTTCTAAAGGTCTTCATGATGCGAGTGATGCAAAATGACACTGAGTAGTGCATCATTAGCATCACAATGTGCTCAGGAGACTATTTAGATTGTCTACCGACCAGGTGGGTAGAGGGAGATTGAATGACACTTGCAAGCTTCATGTATTGATATGGGGTGTCGGTTACGACTGTTTGGTGCTGCAAGAATGGCGTGGTATGGTGCTTACTGAGGTTGAAGGTCACTGGCAGCAGCTTTTGGATCGCATCTCCGCTTCTTTTGATTTATGTTTGCTTTGGAGTTTACTATGAATGCAGTCCGCCCCTGTGGCAAACCACAGCTGCGAACTTTGAATCTGGGCTTTTGCCCGACCTTGCTGTTGTTGCTTGCTGGTCCGCGCTGCTGGTGCTTTTCCGAGCGGTCTTTGCCGGCATGCCAATGCAGGATGCCCAGCAAGTGAATGAGAATATGACCTCAGGTCGACCTGGGGGAGTTCTGGTATGGGGTCTTTGGGTTTTCCTTGTGACCATCTTCTCATTGCCGTCCATTTTGTTTGCCTTTGCCCAGTCCTTACCCGCCCACAACACCTCTGGTCTGAGCGAAGAGTTCTTGAGCTTTGTGCACAAGATCGCACCGGTGCTGACAGTGTTGATTGACATGGTAGTGGCTGTTCCAATGTCGACGCAATACTCCGCTTGGTCTGGGTTGAAGACAGACAGATTGTTGATGACCTTCCGCCTGTTTTCTGCTTGGCTGTTACCACTGATAACGACAGTCATTTTGGATGAAAACTGTATTTCTGGGTGGAAATGGACATGGACGGTTTGCCAAGCGGGGTCCTCAGAGCACCGTCGCTTTGACTGGAGTATTTACGACCAAGAGATTCTGAGTGCGCAAAGGAGCATTTGCAACTTAAGCCTCACTTGGTGGTCTGATGGCCGTTGCAGCCGTGCCATCATTGGAAACTTGACACCGTTTTTGCTCAAAAAGTTGCTCACACGGTGCACGATTCAGCCCTTAATTTTGTGGCTACAGTGGCAGGTTTCCCGGCTGGAACACCAAGACAATTTGCAGAGAGGACGTCATTTGCGACTGTTGGGCATCGGACCTAAAACCAGCGGTTTCCTGGCGCCTTTGCAGCAAATGTCGTGGTTGACGACACAATTGGAACTCTTAGCCTTTTGGACTCCGTTTATTCCTTTGCTCAGCCTTGGCATCCTGAGTGCGGGGATTGCAAACTTGCTGATGTTTGACCTGGGGATTTGGGGTTTTGGGGTGACTCTTCCTTCGGATAGTGTGAACAAGGGTGCTGCAGTGTCGGGTTCATACTTAAGATTTGCCCTTGGAGCTGGCTGTTGCTTTCAGCTTTGGTACGCTTTCAGCACCCGAATGTATGGGCGGTATGTACTGCTGATCTTCAGTCTTACAGTCATGGGGCCGTGGGCAAAATACTTTTTGCCTTTGGATGTGGCGAGCCGTCATTTCTGGAGGCAAGAAAGCGAGATGGAGGTCAATGAGTTTGAGATGTCTGAGGTCGCACCAAGCTAATAGCAATGAGTTTGGACGACAAGTGTCTCTTGACCACTTCGACTTGTTTGGATTGAAAAATCTATCGGGCCATCGGCAAAGACCTCCAGAGCAAGGGCCGGACGAAGGCAAGGGCCATGTGAGCAAAAAGGGTCCACGGACGGATGAGCTGTATTTCTTCAGATGGAGGTTCAGCCAGGCCAGTCCTTTGTCCAAAGCGCAGCAGGTGGCTAAACCTGTGTTACTTGTGTCGCATGTGTTTACATAATGGTCATGTCGTGGTGGCCCATTTTCCTCCCATACTTTGGGATGTACGGTTGGTGCTGAAGCGGGTGACTTTTGGTTTTCCTTGAAAAGGTCGGAGATGACCTTCGCCCGCACTGGACCAAAACGAAATTCTAAAAGGTGCAAGAACGACAGGCAAGCAGGACAGCTTAGAACGGACTTTGGGAGGAAATGCAGCCCAGCTTCTCTTTTGGTTCACAGAGGATTTCAGTCAGCGCAAACCATTTACATTGACTCCATGTGAGAGTCAGTTCATAGATAGGATTTGTGCCACCTAGTTGGACTCCTGGGAGATATTGCTAACTGATCATTATTTGGTCGTGCTTTCACGGCGTTTGGCTGAACGCGGTGGAGCCGCCACCCCATCTCCACTCTGGCATTTGCCTTCAATATGTTGGATCCCAATGGAATTTGGATTCTGGATGTTTGTTGTCATATGGGGATGGGTCAAAACCTGGAGCCGTGGTCTATACCTAGGTATTTGTGCACCTTCCGCACCAGGCTCAACCGGTCGGTCGACCGGTGCGATGACCCATCTCCCTGTCAGGTGCGTCGATCGCCCGAGGCTTCCGTGGGCGACGTGGCGTGTCCCGAGATGGAAAGGGATTTGGGGCATCCCGGGGGATTGATGTCGTCAATCTTCCCTTCAACCCTTCAGCCAAGCAGGTCACCTGTAACCTGCGAGAGAGGCTGAATCGATGTACACACCAAAACCAGAGACGCTCGTGCAAAGCCCTTGTGGGTTTCGGAAAGGACGATGAACCCTGCACAGTGTTGTTGTTTTGGGCTCGCGTTGGTTTATGGAATGTGGGGACTTCCTCTACATTTTATGGCACTTTCAACATTTCATCGAAAGGGCCCCATCAGATCTTAGGCATTGTGACTGGTGTGCGTTTCTTTGCCAAGTGTGTGGCTGGTGGGAGACTCACAAGGTAAGCGGCTCTTCCGCACTTGTCTGTTGCGCCTTGGAGTCCTTACAGTCCTAGAGTCGTTGTAGAGTTAAAGCCACTGAGCAGACTCCCTGTCCGCACTCAGGAACACTCAGACTCGGACCCCCGACAGTACTCTTCAATTGGCATTACCAAGTTTGGCAGGGTTCAGGGCCACATCCACTCTCTTCCCCAAGTTCGGCGACATGATTGGCATACGAAAAAGGTTCCTGAACTGCGTGTGTATCTGAAGAGGATTAGCAGGCCGGTGTATGAAAGCAGGTGGGGCATGCCAAGTATCTTCAACATAGGGAAAGTATAGGATCACCCAGCGGGCTGTGGTTTCCTTTTGATTGACAGGCATGTGTGAACTTGAACCACTTCATCACCCGCGTGGTCTTCGGCTTCGCGAGTGTCTGTCAAGGAGGATGATCTGACAGTTCAGGCCTGAGGTATGTCAGACTATGCTGTGTCGCGGCTCTCCACAAAGTGTTTCAGAAAAAATGTCTTGCATGGAGACTTTTCTTGGATTGAACATCCTGCACCGTTGATTCTTGAACATTCTGAGTATGTTTTTACTCCACGACACTGCAAAGCCAGTGGTGACATCCCCAACATGACAACGGCAAAATGTTTGCTGATCGCCGGAATGATGCTCCACCACGCCACTTGCAGAAGTGATGGCGGTGATGGTGTGGTCCATAAGGTGCTCCTGCAGCTAGGTTTCCCTGGAAGCGAGGCGGAGGTGGTGGCAAAGAACCCCTGCTCTGCGAAAGGTTTTTCTTGCAATGCAAGAGGGCAAATCACAAGGCTGGAGCTCTTCTTGAAGAATCTTGGAGGGAAACTCCCCAAAGAGCTCTGCGAATTTGATGCTCTGTATCACCTAGACCTTGATGACAACCAGCTCACGGGTGAGATTCCTAAGGAACTTGGCCAGCTCAAGACACTGGAAGTGCTTTCCTTGAAAAGAAACAAACTGAGCGGCAAGATCCCGAAGGAGCTTGGCCAGATGCGCGCAATGCGCAAGCTGCACTTGAGTTTCAATCAGCTTGATGGGGAAGTCCCCGAGGAGCTCGGCCAGATTCCGCAGCTGGAAATTCTTCACCTAAACGACAATCGTTTGACAGGCCACATTTCCAAGGAACTCGGCAAGCTCTCAGTCTTGCGATTCTTGAGCTTTGCTAGCAACCAGCTGACAGGGCCAATTCCCAGAGAGCTTGGCGGCTTGCGATTTTTGGAGTCCCTTCTCTTGCAGGAAAACCAACTGACCGGCCACATTCCCCTACAGCTGGGTCATCTTCACCTCTTGCAAAGATTAGACTTGTCAGACAACCAGATTAGTGGCACAATCCCCAAGGAGCTGGGCAACCTGTTTTTTCTGAGATTTTTGCTTTTGAACAACAATCAGCTTGAGGGGGACATTCCCAAAGAATTTGGACGGCTCAAGAATTTGCTATATCTTCAGCTCAACCGGAATCGCTTGAGGGGCCAAATTCCAAAAGAGCTGGGTGAGCTCTCGCAGTTGCACAGTGTGGATCTTTTTGGCAACCAATTGAATGGTGAGATTCCCAGGGAGCTTGGTCAGCTGCAAGCTTTGGAGACACTGGATCTTTCTCAGAATTGGCTGAAGGGCGAAATCCCCAAGGAGTTTGATCAGCTCCGGGCATTGGAAAAACTGGAACTGTCAAGCAATCAGCTGAAGGGCGAGTTGCCTAACCTGAAGTCACTGGACATGTTGGCAGAGCTTTTGCTGTCACGCAATTTGTTCACCGGGACAGGACATGACATTGAAGGTCTATTCTCCCTGATGCGATTGAAGGTCTTGGATCTCAGTCACAACTCTTTTAGTGGAGAGCTCAACCTGCAACTGTCTTTGGAGTCTGAGGAGCTTCGGCGTGTGGATTTGAGCCACAATCAGCTGTCAGGTGACATCTCAAGGTTTGTGGAGCCATTTTGCAAGTTGAATCCTGTCGGGGGATCACTACAAGAGCTTCGCCTCAACCACAACGAGTTCAATGGCGCCGGGCTCAAGAAGTGTTGGAACCCGCGCCCCGGGTCTTGTTTCCATGTTTCCACTGGTTCCACTGGTTCACGCCTTCGGGTCAAAGGGGTGGGGGGGATCGAGGGTTGGAGCTGCGATTCCAGACTCGACTGTGAAGGTTCGAACTGTGAAAGAATCTTTGGGGGTTTTGCCAGTGGGCCGTACGGGGGAGCTCTGTGAAGGCGCAATGCGTTCTTGTTGTGGTGTCGTGCCTTGTTGCACTTGGAGGACACAGCTGTGAACAAGCAGACACTGTTTGCCTGCCAGGTCGCGCCAAGTACACAGGCTCAGTGGCAGGCGCAGGGGATTGAGTGTGCCTCACTTCGTCACTTCGCTTTCGTGCAGATTTCGTGCTTCCGGCTGAGTGCTGGAAGGCTTGGAAGCTCAGGTGGAGGTGCCGTGCACAACCGGAGAAATCCGTGATGTTTAAACATTTGGATGAGGTCTCGCGCTTGGCTTCTTCTTGGAGGCGTAGAGTAGAGTTGAAAGGTGTTCGCGGGGCGTCTATCTCGCACCTTTTCGAGACCTTTAAAACACTTCACCTGGTAGAGCGCAGTGCCTTGTGGACATGGAAGTGCAGACAGCAGCCGCACAGGCGCAGGGCTTTGTGAACCTCGTTCAGATTTCTGGCCAGGCGCAGTATTCTGGGGAGCTGCCAGGTGTAGGAGTGCTGCCAGGTGTAGCACTTTGTTGATAGATTTCGTGGCAGGCCAGGAGTTTGGGGGTTTGGGGACCTGGTCTCGTGCAGAGTTTGGGGGTTTGGCACGTCTCGGAAAACCTGGTAACGGCACCGAAGAGATCGATCGCACAGATCTATCGTATTGCAAGGAACCCAAAGATCCTTTGGTCCTTAACTAAGCCTAACTGGTGCCAGAGTAGATTGCACTGGAGCAAATTGGCCAAGTAGATTGCTGCCAACCGGTGACCAGACTTTTGAGCTGAGGCCATGTGCCAGTGTGCCTGATGGGATTCCAACGGCTGAATTTTCTGGCATTAAACAATAACAACTTTCAAGGCTCACTTCCGGAAGTGAATGCCACAGAGCTGGTTGTCTTGGCATTGCACAAGAACCACTTGTCCGGTGTTCTTCCTAGCCTTCTCAGCCTACAACACCTTGGCGTGTTGACCTTGCACGAGAACTCCATAGGGGGTTCAGTCAACGATCTGAGCTTAAGTGCCACTTGTATAGACAACTCCAAGTTCAAAATGCTGGGAATGGGGTGCGTGACGTGGAAACGGGCCATATCGAATTTTAAGAATGACACTACGGCACTTTTTTCTTGACACGACGGAAGCAGCTGATGTCCAGGAACTGAAAGAGAATTGTCCAAGCCTATTTGGATGCCCCGGCCATAGCACGGCCTACATCACGCTGCACCGGAACCGCTTTTCTTGCAAAGTTCCTGCCCACATTGCTGCTGAAAATGTTACAGTCGCTGGTCTAGTCATCATGGGCAACATGCTGGGGTTTGGACATGAACTCAACTCTTCTTGGATCCTGCCTGAGGAGAAACAATCATTCCTCTACTACTCTGGGGAAGTTTGGAAATCCAATCGCAATGTTCTCTACGGTTTTCTGGTCCTGCTTTCATTTGCTGCTTTGTGCTATCCACGGCGGCAGAGGCTTCAGGAGGCATTGTGGAACTTGGACGCTAATGGCACTGCTTGGGTGGCATCATCTCACTTTGCATTGTGGCCAAGATTTACCCAGATATTGTTTGTTTTTGTTTCTTGTTTTATCGGGATCGAACAGACATGCAAAAAGTGCGGTGTGTGTACATTGATTCCCCACATGCAGGATCCTCCCAATGTTCTATTGCCATATTCTATGTTGTTTGTTCGTTCCCTTGACTATATGGCTTGTGTCATTGTTGCGCAATCTTGAGGAAAAAGCTGAAGCAGCTAGATGACTTGATGACAGATTTCGGTGAAGGTTGGCTAAAAGGGCATCTCTATCAATTTCCTTGAGGGGCATGTGCGAGCTCACATTTCTTTCAACACTCTTCCGTGTGACACTAAGGATCAAAGCCTCCCGCAGCACCTGTATACTGGTATGTCCGCTGCTGGTGCTTTTTTGGTATGGCGGTGTCTATTACGAATGCAGCCCACCCCTTTGGCAAACGACGGCGGCCAACTTGAAAGCGGAGCCTTTGGTGGAGCTTGCTGTCATTGCCTGCTGGTGTGTGATGCTTCTGCTCTTCCGGTCCCTCTTTGCCAGCATGCCCAAGAGAAACAGCATCCCTACCGTTATGAGCTTCAGTGGGATGTCACGCACCTTCGCTCGAAGAATTCTGGTGTGGCTCCTTTGGGTATGCATGGTCACTTTTTTTTTTCGTTGCCATCTGTGCTGTATGCGTTTGCCCAGTCTTTGCCGGCACACAACACCTCTGGCCTCTCTGATGAAATGTTGAATTTGTTTCACGGCATTGCGCCTGCCTTGACCGTTTTGATTGACATGGTCCTTGCTGTCAAGATATCAGTGAAGTACTCCAAATTATCTGGAGCAAATGCAGAGAAGTTGTTGATGACGTTCCGTCTGTTTTCTGCGTGGATGCTGCCGCTTCTGATCACAGTTGTCTTGGATGAAAACTGTATTGGTGGATGGAAATGGACGTGGACCGCTTGCCGAGCAGGGTCGTCACAACACAAGTATTTTGATTGGAGAATCTATGATGAAGAGATATTGAACACTGAAAAAGACATTTGCAGTTTGAGCGAGACTTGGTGGTTGGATGGCCGCTGCAGCCGCGCGATCGTGGGGAACTTGGCTCCCTTTTTGCTCCAAAAACTTCTAGTACGAAGTACCGTGCAACCATTGGTCTTGTGGCTGCTGTGGCGGGTCTCACGTTTGGAAAGCCATGAGGATCCACAACAAGGACGCCATCTCAAACTCTTTGGTTCTGGCCCCAAGACGAGTGGTTCGCTGCAGCCGTTGCAGCAAATGTCCTTGCTGACCACGCAGATGGAAATCCTTGCTTTCTGGACACCATTCATCCCTCTACTGAGCCTTGGGATTCTGGGTGCTGGCATTGCGAATCTGTTGATTTTTGACCTTGGTGTGTGGGGCTTTGGGGTGAAGCTTCCTTCAGACGAGATGAACCAGGGTGCTCGGTTGTCGCGGTGGTACTTGCTTTTTGCACTCTGTGCTGGTTGCTGCTTTCAGCTCTGGCATGCATTCAGCACAGGGATGTATGGGCGATCCCTTTTGCTGGCTTTTAGTGTGACAATGATAGGGCCATGGGCCAAAGGGCTCTTGCCCGTAGAAGCAGCCAGGCGCCATTTCTGGAAGGATTTGGAATCGGCCAATGAGACACGCCTCATTGAGATGGGCCCAATGGATACAGCCCATCTCACATCCGAACCGAATAGGACCTGTTCCTGATACCTTAAATTCTCAACAAAAGATATACTGCACAGAGCAAGCTGAACATGTCCTTGCAAGCTGACAGTGAAAACGATCCGAAGCAGCAAGCCTCTGGTTCCGAACGACATCCTTCGTGAATCGCCATGCTCCTTGCAAATCGTGTTGATCTGCAAAATGCTTGCATAAGTCTCATCATTCTTTTCAGAGACATAAGGCTTAGAAAGCCACGAGCAAACCACTAAGGCTTAGATCCGGTCAGGGAAGGAAACCACTTCGTCACCCGAACGTCTCAGGTGAAGGAGCCTGAAAGCCCAGCCGAGTCGCTTTCCTGACATCGCGTTTCCTCGACCGACGCGGGTGACTCAGCGGAGATTCTCCGGGGGGGGAGATCTGAGATCCTGTAGCCATACTGTGAGTACATCAAAATGCACTGGAGAAGGATTTTATGTCAGGAGTATTTTGGAGAGCCTTTTTCGTTTTGAGTTGGCAAAGATTTGCTACCTTTCAGTGCTCGCTTCAAAGAAGCCAAAACGCAAAGCTGTCCAAATGTCCATAGATGCCTCACTGGAACTCAAACTAGAGCAGTTTGACCCCCATGCGTCGTGTTTGCAACTGTCTGAAAAGAGCAATTGATCGATCATCAAAGCTTCCCAGCTGCAGACGCCGCTGAATGTAGCAGACTTGCCGTTCGGAGTCTCCGGTTGGTCGCACCAGTGACTGATCTGAATCATCCCTGACACTGACACACTCAGGTGTTGCAATGTTTTGCACGAGTTCGTTTGGCTGTGTGGATTTGTGGCGTCTTCTCTTCGACGAGCAGCACATCAAGACTGTCTCTTAAGGCTTGGCCCTGTGGTGTCGGTCGTAAGCCGATTCCTTTAAGAACCAGCGTCGGTAGAGGAAAACCAATTGCTATCCACACCATTCTGTGGGTTGCGATGTCAATTTGATGCAAGGGATTACTTCTTCAGATTGTTCACAACTCTACTGCCAGTCTCTTGCAGTGTCCCCTTTTCGGCAGTTGTTGATTCGATTGCTTTCCAGCTTTACTCGGCTCAAAAAACTCTAGAGCCAATGATGCATGCCGGGCATGAAGCTGTTAAGATCTTCCGTGATTGCTGGAATGATGGCAAGGGGCGGCTCTCAGCCGGATGCCGTCCACAAGGTGCTTGCAGAGCTGGGTTTCCCTGAAGTTGATCTGGAAGTTCAGAAGCTGTGCTCCCTGGAGGGCTTCAGCTGCGATGCGCACCAGCGGCTCGTCCGCCTGGACCTGTCGCTTCGGGACCTTCGGGGGCGACTCCCCAAGGAGCTGGGCGAGCTTGAGGCGCTCGAAGAGCTGGACCTGATGGGCAACCAGCTGAAAGGTGAGATTCCCAAGGAGCTTGGCCAGCTTAAGAAACTCAGAGAGTTGGAGCTTTCGAAGAACCAGCTGAATGGCCCAATCCCTCATGAGCTTGGGCAGCTCCATTTGTTAGAACGGCTTTTGTTGGGTCAGAATGAGCTCGTGGGTGAAATCCCTTCTGAGCTTGGCCAACTGGAGCTGTTGGAGGAACTGACTTTGGCGCGAAACCAACTTGAAGGTTCCATTCCTCCAGAGCTTGGCAGGCTCACGGCCTTGGAGGTCTTGGATTTGTCTCAGAATCGGCTGACAGGCCCAGTGCCGGAGGAGCTCTGTGAACTTCAGACTCTTGATTGGTTAGACCTCTCGCAGAATCAGCTGGCTGGCGAGCTTCCAGCTTCACTGGGCCAGCTGGAGAGCTTAGAGAAGTTGGATTTGTCTGAGAATCACTTTCAGGGCCCAATCCCTGCAGATCTGGGCCATCTCTCCTCCCTTGTCATGCTTGACTTGCTGGGCAATCGGCTTTCAGGGTCGATTCCACCCGAGCTGCGCGGCTTGCGCCTGTTGCGCGTGCTGAGCCTCGCAGAGAACCAGCTGACGGGGGAGATCCCGTGGCAGCTGTCAGAGCTGATGAACTTGGAAGTGCTGAGCTTGGAGAAAAATCACTTGGTGGGTGAGATTCCCCCGCAGCTGGGCCAGCTCAAGTCCTTGAAGCTACTGCACCTGAGTTGGAATCAGCTAGTGGGTGAACTCCCTGGGGAAATTTCAGAGCTGGAGTCTTTGGAAGAGCTGGCACTGGCTGAAAACCAGCTGGGAGGTGCCAAATCCTTGGCTTCTTTTTGGACGCTGCCACATCTTCAAGTTTTAGATCTCAGCCACAATTCCTTCAGTGGAGAGCTCGGGTGGGGAAACCAGCAGCACGAAGCCGCGAGTCGCTCCAAGTCGAAGCTCCGGCATCTGGATCTGAGCCACAACCAATTTCACGGCAGTCTCTTTGGACTGGCAGAGGTTTTTTGCGCCAGCCCTGTGGGTGGTGTCTTGCAAGAGCTTCGGCTCAACCACAACGACTTCACAGGGGATGTGCCAGCATGTTTGATGCAATTTCGCCGTTTGACTCTACTGACGCTCAACAATAACCATTTGCAGGGCTCACTTCCGGACGTGAATGCCACGGACCTGGTGGTTTTAGCCTTGCACCAGAACCACTTGTCTGGTGTGCTTCCCAGCCTTCACCAGCTACAGCACCTGGGTGTGTTGACGTTGCACGAGAACTCCATCGGGGGTTCCATCAGTGACTTGAGCTTAAGTGCCATTTGTATGGACAACTCTAAGTTCCGCATGGAGGGAAGGGGCTGCAAGGAGCTCAAGATGATGAAGAGTTGGTTCAAATACTCCGAGGAGCAGAAAAACACCTCGTCTCTCGATCATATTTTCATGGCTGGGATAAAATTTGGTTTTCCATAGAGCACATCTTCCTCCCAGGAAATGTAGGGACGTTTTCTATACAGCTTCAGCTGGGGTCAGTAATGGTCAGTAGGTCTGGAACCTGACTCTCACATTGCTTCAGATAGATACCACTGATTCTACCATGAAGACTGGTGACTTGACGTCCTCTGCGAGCAAAGCGCGGATGTCCCACGTTACTGCCATCAAAGAGGATACTGCAGACACACAATTACATAACAATCAACAGGTGGATAGAAGGTGAAACAACGCAATGAAGCAACACCGTTAATCTGCTTCAATGGGATTTCCATGGAAATCCTTTCTTCAACCATAGATCTCTCACAACCATGCACCCAGCCAGGAGCAAGTGCAGCGCATTGAGAGCAACTGCCCCAGCTGGATTGGTTGCCCCAGCACCGGACGCGCGAACGTCACCTTGCACCGAAACCGCTTCTCCTGCAGCGTGCCGGAGCGCCTGGGGAATGTGAGTGTGATCGGCTTAGTGATCATGGGCAATATGCTGGGCTTGGGGCGCGAGCTGAACTCCTCTTGGATTCTACCAGAAGAGCAGCAGTCCTTTCTGTACTACTCCTACGAGGTGTGAAGTGAAGTCGTCACGATAGCGTCGGCACCGTTCTTTTCCTTTTTTGGAAATCCATCTGTGTGCAAGCTCACTGGTGTCGAATATCGACACCTATGCGAAGACTGGTGCAGGAGTGGTAGCATTGTTTTTGCGTGATGTCTCCTTGTTTCGGTATTGGTATTTTCTTTTTCGTTCTGAGTGTCTTCGATACCAACATCCAGGTTTGGACATCCAACATCTATGCCTTGGGAGGTTTTCTCCTGCTGCTCTTCTTCGTGCTCTTGTGCCATTTACCGCAGCGGCGGCGGGTGCAGGAGACATCACGGAACCTGGACGTGAGCACCACAGCTCGAGTGGTTTCTTCAAACCTGGCCTTGTTGCTGGGATTTCCCGTGGGGTCACAGCGTGTTTTTCGCCGTCTTCTTGGGGAAGATGTCTTTCGGCGGGTAGAGCTATTTTAAATTCTCCCAGGAAAGGTAGATTCTAGATGAGAACGAATAAGGTGAGGTTTTGTTGTGTAATTCGATGTAATTCGTTATATTGGTTTCGGGGAGAGCTACCCTTCTACCCTTCAAGGTGTGTAAGAATTCCGAGAGCTGACAAGTGTACTGTTCGGTTCTTCTGATGTCTTCTCAGAAAATGACATTAGGTCTTAGCAGTTGAGAATGCTGGTGTTGATGCTGTTTCTCCCCAGCCTCGCAACTGTCTTGGCCTTTAGGTCTTAGCGGGTGACACCCCAACGATTGATGGAAGAGTTCGGCGGAGCGCCCCGTTGATGCTCCAAACCCTCTGAATTCGTGGGATATTTTCCGAACTTAACTTGGGTCGTTTTCCGGATTTCTTCCCTCAACGAGTCTTGGCAGGTGAATCTGTCCCATCCACCAGAGAGCAATAGTCAACAGGAAAACGACTTGATCTTGATCATATGACTTTTGGGTCCATTATCTGCCAGTGATAATGGGATGACATATACAGCATACAGTACCCAAACCATAGAGCTATATAACTGTTCGCTTTGGTTTTTGACATGTTTTTTCTACAATTCAGCTGTTTGCTTGGGGAATTCTGAACGGAACATTCTCCAGCTCTAAGAAGGGCAGCCTGCTTTGGATGCTATTTTTGGCCAAGAAGGGATGGCCACGAAAAGAGCACGAAAGAGACCTGAGCTAGTCAAGAGACATGGACCATGTGGGGTTGGAAGACACTTGTATTCACTATTCGCTCGAATTGTGGAAGGCTGCATATTATGAAAGGACTCTGCAAAAGCCCCATACAAACAGTCATTGTGGCCTATGCGAGATGGTTCAAATTACACCTCCAACGGGTTGACTGTTTTGGAGGCCATGAGACCAAAGGGAAAGAAAACCAATCAACCCGACTGGACGTGGACGTGGGGGGGACCCGTAAAAACGCGCAGTCGAAGCGGCCTCGGCGCAGGGGGGAGACCGGGGGAGACCCCGTTGATCATTCCACACCCGTCCAGATGTGACTGACACTTGCGAACAGCGCCCGAGAGACGGCACAAGAAAGGGCCCCAACTTCGACGGCACGGGGTGTTCAAGGGAACAACACTTGATCACCTTTCTTTTGTGTGACTCAGGTTGAAAGCAGCCCGTGCGGTCTTTCTGCTCGCCAGCCCGCTGTTGATGCTTTTTTTGGTGCAGCGGAAGATACTACGAATGCAGCCCGCCCCTGTGGCAAACCACCGCTGCAAACTTCAAAGCTGAGCCTCTACCGGAGCTTGCTGTCACGGGCTGCTGGTGTGCGATGCTGCTGCTGTTCCGAGTAATCTTTGCCAGCATGCCGGGAACGCACTATGCTGGTTCTACCCATTTCCACGAAAGAGAGCCCAGGAGACCTCTTTTGGGCCGCGCTCGCCGAGTTCTCGTCTGGCTCCTTTGGGTGTTCATTGTGGCGACGTTCTCCCTGCCATCGGTTCTCTATGCCTTTGCTCAGTCTCTGCCGGCACACAACACCTCTGGCCTCGACGAGGCCTTGTTGAAGCTGGTCCATGGAGCTGCGCCGGCACTCACCGTGTTGATTGATATGGTCTTGGCCGTCCCAGTCTCCGCACAGTATTCCTTCTTGACTGGAGTCAAGACGGATCGATTGTTGATGACCTTCCGACTCTTTTCCGCATGGCTACTACCAGTGCTCATCACCGTGATACTAGATGAAAACTGCCTTTCGGGGTGGAAGTGGACTTGGACGGTCTGCCAAGAAGGCTCGGCTGAGAACCAGTACTTCTATTGGAGTATCTATGGTGAAGAGATTCTGAATACCCGAAGGGATATTTGCAACCTAAGCCAGACTTGGTGGTCTGATGGCTGCTGCAGCCGTGCCATTGTGGGGAATTTAACGCCTTTTCTACTGAAAAAGCTGCTGGTGCGAAGTAGCATGCAGCCGTTGATTTCGTGGCTGATGTGGCGGCTTTCACGCTTAGAGCACCAAGAGGACCCGCAAAAGGGGCGTCATCTCAAGCTGTTTGGTTTTGGTCCCAAAACAACCAGCTCTTTACATCCGTTGCAGCAAATGTCACTGCTGACGACCCAGATGGAGCTCTTGGCTTTCTGGACACCATTCATCCCTTTACTGAGCCTTGGTATTCTGGGTGCTGGCACGGCCAATCTGCTGATTTTCGACCTTGGCGTGTGGGTCTTCAGAGTGAAGCTTCCTTCCGATGAGATGAACAGAAACGCAGGCTTGTCCAGGTCATACTTGAGCTTCGCCCTTATTGCTGGCTGCTGCTTTCAGCTCTGGCATGCCTTCAGCACACAAATGTATGGGCGATATGTACTGCTGATCTTCAGTCTTGCGGTCATGGGGCCATGGGCGAAGTGTCTGCTGCCCATCGAGTCTGCGAGAGGGCTGTTCTGGGCCGATGCAGAGAAAGCCAGCGAGACAGAGTTTATTGAGATGGCGATCCGCATGGATATGGATGAAGCTCTTTAGTCCTAGTGATCCAGGCTCGCTGTGCTGCGTGAGGCTCCACACGTTCTGCGCCGGCACGGCACAGACGAAAAGCGCGGCTAATGGCAGGTTGGCTACAGGAAGATTGGCTCCTGATCAGCCAAGAGGTCATCAGCAACCACAGTGGGTATGCCTTGAAGTGGAAACATCCCCTCTAACCACCTGTTGGGAACATCGAATACAGCCAGGGCCAGAGTAGTTCCCCCTAACCGGTCGAACCTGGTGACGAAGAATGTGAGCAGTACACACTACCATGAACTGCTCCAAGGGCCCTTAGAAGAAACTGAATGTGTGTGAGACACTGTAACTCTCAAACATGCCCTCGCAATGGATGAAATCGATTGTCTGGTCCAATGTGCCTACTGGGCAGACCAGCTGATTTTCAGGTCTATATAGCCAGGGTTGTATCTCCATTCTTACAGAGTGTTCTATTCTTCACTATTCTGTAGTGTTTGGGTCGAAACACCGACTCCACCTCTCACTCACTGCTGGTACATCGACCCTGGCAACACCTGGTAGTCTGATTGAAACTGAATCTCTAGTAAAGCTCCCAACCCCGAATTCAGCAGCTTTCGCCTTTCGCATCGCATCCGTGTTCTCTGAGACATCTCGGCTTTCGGCTTTCGCCATATTGAAACCTCGGGAGTCAACGGACGCTTGCTCCAACCAGGCGTACGGAGACCGAGTGAAGACGACAGCGGGAATCGCGGCGTGGTGCGGTGAAGAAAATGCGGGCCAAGATCTCGTCCCATGCATATACATATGGAGTGATGAAATGATTAGTCAAGTGCAGTCCAACCACTGAAGATGAGGTGGGAAGGTGCCACACGAGGTTGGACATAGCGTTGTTTTGCAAAGTGCCACCTGCTGACTTTGCTCGAAGGTGTCGTGTTCCATGCAGTTGGGCAGAAAGAAGATTCCACGTTTTCAGCCCGAAAAAACCAAAACTGGCGTTAGGTTAGGTATGGGGGAGCCCAACCATTGGGTGTTCAATTCTTCCTACTTTTGCATGGTCTGGCTAGTCGATTTACTCATCGCAGGCAAAAGAAAAGGAATGCAGTTACTGTATATCACATTATATCCGCCAATTAGTTCAACGGACATCCTGCTTGCACTGATGCCAACCTTGGGCCCTTCAAGCTTTCATGACCTCACTGATCTGAATGTTCTTCCAAAAACTTGCCTCATTGTATGAGGAGCTTGGCAACTAAGACAAACACATCAACCTGGAATTTTGGACGTGTAGGTCCATGACCTATCACTTCAAATCTACGTTAGCTTTCTCACCAGCCGAGTTGACCCACCGACATCGAAACACGCCCTACACGCCGTGCGTCGCGTGCCGTGCGTCCCGGGCCGTCATGGCGCGGGCGACGTTCGGGTCGGTGCTGTTGGTCGTGGCGATGGCCACGCTCGGTTGGCTGTGCTCGAAAGTCTGTTCCTTCGAGCTGTGGGCACTCTTCTCGGGCATCAGTGGTCTTTTGTTGACGCTGAGCAGCAACAACGGCGAACGAACGGGGAAGGGCAGCCTGTAATTGGTGTGGAAGCTCCTTCCAAAATAGAGAGAATCCTCTAGAAACCATGTCAGCCTGCTTTCAGTGTTAAAATTGTTATTTTTTTATCTCTTGCTTAAACGACATCAATGCCATCTGCAAGGCGGATTGTGCGTTCATTAGGGGAAGTTCACAAAAGAGGGATCCACCAATCCATGGCTCGATTCACTAGGCTTCATTCGTTTGGAATTTAAACCAGTCCAATCTTAGGAGATTATGCACCCTTCACAAAAGAAACAGGCATACGACGCCTCCCGAGCCCCCCCGGCTTTTATTTGGAGGATGTGGTGCCTTGCACAGCGACCTTTGCTTTGTGTCTCCTTCTTGTACCTCTGTGGCTGTGGAGTTCTGCTCGTCCGGGAGACGGTGCTGATTTTTACAGGTGGGGGGCTTTTCGGTGCTGATTTTCTCCGTATGCCGGGTGGAGCTTCAACCCTCCAATTTTAGGGCAGGGCTCCAAGAAGAAAAGACCCCCAAACGAGGGAGACCCATTCTAACATTCTGTTCCATGTCCAGACCTATTTGACCACGGTATGAGGCATGAGGAGCACTGAACCCTGAACGTCGAGTTTTCGGCACCCCGCGGCCCACCGCTGACCGAAGGAATTCACGCTGACCGCTTCAAAAAGAGGTTGACCTCTGCTCCATGGTGAGCATGTCAGACCTGGGGAGTTGAAAAGTAGACCCATTTCTTGAAAAAAACATATTTGTCATGTTTCTTTTTGGAGTTGGCGTATTGACTTGAGTTTGCTTGCTCTATGAACATGAAGCCTTCCGATGTCGATGTGGCCGTTCGTGTGTTCTTTTGGCTCGATCCCCCCTCACCGTGGCTCGCTTCAAAGACTTCCAGACTTCTGACACGCACGCGAAACGATCTCATGATCTCGGCTGTTTCACGTTGTACGTCGTGTGGTGACAGGACAGGTGCCGTGTGGTTTGGTGACCTTTGGGGATCAGTGCACTGACACCCAATGTGTGAAGAAGAGCCTTGGGCCTTTTCGGGTTGCGTCGGAGTCGTCCAGATCGGGGCGAGGAGGAGCGAGGATTCGAGGGGAAGGTGAGGGGAAGCCGAGAAGCTTCGCACCACATGTGTGGCTTTTTCAAGATTGGTCCTATGGACCACCTGGCTGGATGGGTGGGGGTTTAGTTCGACTGCAGAGCCTAGGCCTGGCACCGGTCTTAGCCACAAGATCTAACATATCATATCGCTTGCACCAAGAATCCATGTTTACTTTCAATAGATTGGGGTGTAGTCTTTCATTTTCCACCCATCGGCCATGGACTGCGGCGTATGAGGGTAGCTTTCCACTTGCAGAGAGTTCAACCAGAAGCAGAAGCCCAAACAGAAGTGGATGCTGGTTCCTGCTTCTTTTGTGGTTGAAATGCTTTCCAAAGGAAACTCTGAAACAAACCTGAGGAACTATGTCCTTTTCTTTGAAGCTGGGTGTGCAGAGTATGCCTGTGTGCATACTGAAGCTTGGCTTTGATTAGGGATTGTCTCCGACGGCGTTGGTGCGATTTTTGCATGCTGCAAAGCTTTTGTTAAAGAATGGTTCTTTTTCGCGTCTTCGTGCGATCCAGGGAGTGCAGCCGGGTGGAGCTTGTGTCTCCGCTCCTCGCGGTCGGGTCAAGACGAGACGAGCGGTAGGCTTTCTTCACGTCCGAACTCCAATGACTATGGGGAGACCCGGTCACCCGTTGTCACCGGTCGCTGCGATGGGTTGGGATGGGTTGGGATTCTGTCTCAGGAGCGGCAGGAGGTGCAGTCGGTCTTCACGATCGATCCGCAGACCTTACACAGCTTCTGGGTGCTGACGGGGCTCTGCTTGTCCTGGGCAGCCGTTTGCTTGAGTGCTCGTTCCATGTTGAGATGGATGGCCCGGTCCTATGGCGCATATGCAGTCAACGAACACAGCTTGAAGATTGCGCGATACACCGCGGTGGTCTTGCTGGTGCCACCCACTTATGGGACCTGTGCCATGTCAGCTCTTCGGGTGATCACCATCAACCGCGAAGATACGTGGACAGCAGAGTCCATGATGGATGTTGCTGAGCTCTTTTCCGCCTGCGCATTGTATGCCTTTCAGAGGTTGCTGGTGGTCTACGTGGATTGTTTGAGCCCAAGCTTGAGTCTGGAGCGGACCTTGGACCAGGGAGACGTCGACATCAAGAATTCCTTCAAGCTACTCGAGGGTTTAACCTCAACTGGCTGAAGTTTTGATTTTTGGCTTTACGTGGCTTCCCCAAAGACAAAGCCCTTCTACAGTATACATAAATTGCTGCTGCTGTGCTTGTCCGTGATCACAGTTTCTTAAGGAGGTGAGATAGGTATGTAGGTCGAGACAGTGCAGTCAAGACTGTTTCAGAAATGACCATTGCCGTGATAGCTGAGTATCGATTTGTTTTTGACTTTCTTCTTTTGGATACCTTTTATTTTCTTTCTGGTATGGAACCCCTGGCATGACGATCGGACACACATATCCATCGCTTCCGAACGCGAGATCGAACGGACACTTTCTTTCACCAGGTTGCAAAGGAGCTTCCAGTCGGTGATGTCGTTGGGCATCAAGCAGTACGTGGTCCTAGCCTTTGCTTGTAACCTCTTCTTGGTGGCGGTGAAAGCCTGGGACGTGCTCCAACCCGCTTCCTGCCAGGAGGCTTTAGCCACTTGGAAGAGTGGGATGAAGCCGCAGGAGAGAAGCTGAAGGGGCAAATGGTCAGACAATGTCAGACAACCCCCCATCCACTTATCAGTGGCCCGGATTTGATCCTGGTTTAGTCATTCGTGGATTTGGTGATCGGGGTCCAAACGCTTCAGCGAAGCCACCGGGCAGATTCAAGTGCTGTATTGCTGTTTTTTTTTGGGAGTGGCGGAATCGCCGTTCAAGATGCCATACATATCCATACATATCGAATCCGGCCCCACGAGCCGCTCTCAGTTTCCTCACGACCTCGTGCCGAAACACGCCAAGGCCTTTATTGCTCATCGGGGATTCCCTCACCACAGCATCAGCCTGGCGGTGAGTGAGCAGAAGCTGAACCAGTCGCTCCATACGCGTGCAACATCGTTGGCTTGTGAGGAGGGCAAACTAAACCACTGACAAACAGACTTGTTAGCATGCAGAATTTCTCCATGATTGTTGGTCAAGTTGGTCTCCTGTCTTTTTGGTGCCACACCCTTTGTGAGGATGTTTGGAATTCAAGCTCTTTGATGATTATGACTGCTGATTTCTTCACCTGCAGCATCGCCCTCTATGCAATCCTTCAGTACGAGCACGCGTTCAATGAAGTGCTGCATGCTGTGAACCCCTTCTGGAAGTTCTGGGGCGTGAAAGGCAGGGGACCACCACTTTGTAGTGCTTATCTTTGGGCTTTGGGGATTATTATTCTATTGGATTTGTGGCTTTCGGATGACCGCCATGTGGTTGTTGACCCCAAGCAGTTGCAGCTTGTCATCAAAAACGTGGTTGTTGTCAGCGCAAGACGCCACGCTCTCCGTTGAGGCTTGCTCTCCGTAAACTTCCTCCAAAGCACGATTCTGGCCGCGGTCTCCTGGATGACGTCCAGCGATGCAGCTGGCTTCGTTGCGACGCTCTTGAGTCTAGTCCAATGTGTGAGGAAAACATAGCCAATAACAACAAGTAGCAGCAGGACTTTGTTTTTGATATGACAACTTGTTGTGAAGATACTCTTCATATCTCTCCATGATAGGTGTGGGGGACAGCACGTCTGGCTTTTGTAGGCCTTCCGAAATGATGCGATAAGTCCAGGGAAACAGCGGCCAAGAGGAATTGCAGGATTGGGGGACCGAATTCCTTCTCGAACGATTGTTGATGGACACGGACTTGTGAGAGGTGCTGATCCTGCCCAAATGGGGTTTAGGTTTATTGTTGCTCTTCCCAGAACTCGAACTGGGGTCAACTTGGGCCGTCGTTGTAAGATATCCCTGCCACCAGACTGGTGGGGGAGGTCTTTCAACCAGTTTGTTTTTTTGGCAGATGCAGGCAGTCAAATTTGAAGGTCCCACAATGGTTGATAACAGCGCAGCCTAGGAACTATCACCTCCTCTGTGCGGAGTCATTTGTTCTTGCTGCCTGGAGATTATATTGTAGAGCTGGCATGGGGGATTCTGTTTGCTACGGTGGCCTAAACGAGGGAAGTTCCCACTGTACAACATGTGCGATTGAGAAAGACGGAAAGAACTGAGATCAGTGATCACTTAGATAACCCAGCGCTTCGACGAGACTGTCTGGACCTGGATAATATATACAATTCAATACAATAGTAATTCATCCTGAAAGAGCTCGCACATGGAATTCCTTGTTTTAGCATGGAAGCCTTTCAGTGATTGGTCCAGTGCCTGGCATGGCAAGTCGAGCTTAGTTTGAGTGAGATGAGCCCCCAACGGACGGTCATGGAATAACGATCCTTTCCAAGTCCAAGGGTCTCTCTACCATGACCAAACCTTGCTCTCCAAGGCTTTGCTGAACATTTCAGCCTACGCTGTGCAGGATGAGGACTGCGTGTTTCGACCAACTGCACGGTTTCCACGCGCCTTTTTGACACCCGCCGCGTGAAGCGCAACGACTCTTGTCTCGTCCTGCAAGGAGGAGAAGACCTCCGATGCGCCGATGGAGGACGTACCCGATGAGATCGAAGGAACCCAGATGACCTGCTTGAAGGATCCTGAGCAGCCAGACCCCCAGGTGGGCCGGGAGAACTGCTGGGAGAGCTGTGAGGATCGATCAGACACGGTCAGACACGGTAGGAAGATGGACTGGTAATGAAGGAGTGTTGACCGAAGCGTACAAGCATTTTGATCGATAAGAAGACACTCTGGTATTACCTCCTTTGCACCTTGTACATTTTGTAGTGGCAGTCCAGGCAGTCTTGTTTGGCAGATCATTTCATGTTCATTTCACTGGGTGATAGCTGATACACTAGAGTGATCAATGTCAACGGAATGGAAAAACTGACGTGAGACCTGAGACCTGAAAAGGACATGTTTCTACGAGCCTTTAGTATCAATTTGCAAGATCAATGACCAAGGCAGAAATGATCGAAGCATTGCTAGCAATCCTGAGCATCTGTTCTCGGTCAGGTCATGGGTAAAACGATGGAGACCTAGCCCCGATTGGCCGCTGAGTGCCACCAGGCAGGTCGCAGCACCCTTTGGTGAGGCCGGGAACGTGGATGGCATCTGACTGGGGATCAACTCGGCACATGCCAAGGCCATGTTTTTGGGACAAACACGGCCAATGTGCTGCGAAGCACAGGGAAGAACAAGGCAGAATGCTTTTTGGGTGTCTCAGTGGCCTTGGCCAGTGGCCCGACCTTTGGATTTCACTGCGGGGACACACTGAAATTGGTTCAGGGTGTTCTCTTTTGTTTGTAGACGATGTCATGTGGAGACAAGAAGGAAAAAAGGAGGAATCCCAAGTAGTTGGAATTCCGATCATATTTCACAGCCATCTGAGCGTGCGTTACACGTTGAGACCACCAACTATTGGGTCTATTGGGTCAAACGGCTCAAACGGAAGTTCAGACGGACAGCTGTTTCAGACCGTTGAACTCCTAGAATTCTATGAAGATCTGAGTTGGTTTGCTGTAAAGGAGCACACGTGACACGAACGACGAAGACCCTCAGCAACGACGAGAGCCACATGCTCTGACGGCTTCAAAACCAACGGACGGTAGGGGAAAACATATGAAAACATCCAGCCTTGGATTGGAAGGGAGGTGACCATCAATCTTGGGTCAATAAGTAGGTCTAAGTAGGTGTCATGTCTTCATGTGTCCAGTATGAGATCAATGCAGGGAGGCTCAGCCGTGCTGTTGTTCCTCTCTGTTGGCCAGCCCCACCGGTTTTTCCATGGTCGGCCACACAAAGTCTTGACATCGGAGGTGTGGAGACCGGAGAAACGCAGACGCTGTGCCAGGCTGAGGGTTGGCCCGAGGAGGCTGAGGCGAGACCAATCCATGCGAGACTGAGAGAGGTGCCCGACTTCAGGGCCACAAGCGGAAGATCTGGTGGCCACTAGTTTTGCCACTTGCTTGCGAGAATTCCAGTCCCTATGGAACCACTGGAGAATGCTTTCTTAGAAGGGACCCCCCAATCGATTTTCCAGAGAGAGAGAGAGAGAGAGAAAGAGTTTAGAAGACAAGTTTTGAGGATGATTTCCTTTGCATACCGCTGGGTGAGCGGGTTCCAGATGCTTCAAGCACACACACACACAGAGCACGAAGATGAAGATGTGTTTTTCATGCATGCACTGTCCACTTTAGAGTCGCAATCTCCAGTGGCCCACGGGTTTGGGATTCCTCAAGGTGTCTCTCCATGGGCGAAGAGTACAGAGACTTTGCCTAGACCAAAGAGTTGGCCGGAAACCTTCGTTGGAACGAGATTTGGTTGGTGGTTTCAAGAGTTGTTGAGTTTCATACCTTTGCCTAGGAGGATTGAATTCCATTGACTCATCATTTTGCGTTCAACATTTGAAGCGTGTGTCCATCAGCCACCAACCAGACGCAGATGTGAGGTTTAAATCCAACTGGCCGTGGTTTGACACGTGGCAAAAAGTGGACGGGGCTCTCACACAGTGAACTTAGACTATTTTTGCTTGTTGGAGACACCACCCACCGAACACAAAGTGAAATTTTTGGAAACACAGACAGCTTCGAACCTGGATTTTTGATTCCGAACAGCGCAAATTACAATTCCAGATGATCCCCGAAAGATTGCAACGTCGAGCGCTTGTGTTGGCTTTCGACGGCTCAAGAGTTGGCGCCATTCGGAAGAAGGCAATGCAGGCAGTAGAGTTCGAACAGCTTGGACTCGAGGGATGATGCTCCGCAAACGTCACTTATACAGAGGATTAAGTCCTCTGGTGAAACCCTTCCAAAAGATTCCCAAAACAAGTGGCTCCTAGATTGGAACACCAATTTTCGTTGAAAACAGGTGGTCTACAGCTCCATGTGGTCTGACTGCGGGGACACTTTTCGCAGCACCGAAAGCAGCACATAACATCAGCTCGCAAAGGCAATAGGTACCGCTTTGGGGAGTTTGAGGTTTAAACAAGAAGCTACCAGGAACAAAGGGCATCGCTACGAGGAGCAAGGACGCTACGAACGTAGCTCCTGGCCTTACTACTAGGAACAAGAAGCTACGAACGGAGCAAAGGGCATTGCTACGAACGGAGCATCTTTACGGTCGCCAGGCACAATGCCTGAAGCCTTGACGACTTCACGTCTTTGGCAACTTCCGGGACCGCGCGGCGGCCAGCCCACAGGCGCGTGCGGCACACGGACGGGGCCTCACCGGTGACCCTTCACGGGCCATTTGTGTTTTTTGTTGATGCTTTTTCAATGTGTCCCAACTGATTTAATGTTGCTTCCGGTGGCGAAACAGGACCTTTGAACAGTACCGCCTGCCTCTTCAAGCACACGGACTGACCGAAGCCTTTGGGGTCTGGAAGGTTACTCCTCAGCCATTGGTTCTTTGCAACAGGGGTCTTTGGGGCTTCTCTCTTGTTGTGGCAAGCAAGATGGGATGATGGGAGATGGTCATCAACAACAGTGTGCTTTTGGGTCGCTGAGCTTGTCCTTCACAGAGGGTTCTTCATCCATTTTTCCTCTTTCAGAGGGTTTTTTTGGAGGGGTCATCTCATTGAAATAAATATCCACATGCTTTGCAGAATTGTTGGAGAATTCTTTCACACTGCATTGAACTATCCATGAACCCTTAAGGGAAACCCTCCCATTTTCATATCTCCATGGGTTGCTTTGTGGTTTCGACCTGGTCTTGCCGGTCCCGACCGGTCGACACCGGCTCAGGTGGCAGGTCCAAAGCCAGGGCGCCTCGGGGTCGGATGGACAGCCATGCCGTAAGGAGAATCAGGATCAGACGTTTTTCTGGCCATTTCCACCTGCTTTTTGGGTGAAATCCTCTCTTCTGTTTTTCAATACATTTTGAAGACACTGGCCTACAGAGTTCAGAACGTGGACCAGAACGAACCCTCCGAAAGGCGTTCCGGACTCGCCGTCCGCAGCTTCGTTGGCTTCGCTGGCTTCACGAGAAAGGTTGAAAGATCCTGTCTGAGACAAGCGCAGTCGATGCAGTCGGGACAAGAATTTCGTCAACAAAGACACCGAACAGATCAATTGGACCAGCATTCTCATTGGCTCTTCGTCTGCTTGTCACAGAAGTGAAGAGCATGAGCATGCTGCAGCGGTTTGATAATCCGACAACATGTTTTGATCTGTGGAATCGCAGTTTGGCCTTGGACTTTTTGGTCAAAACGCACTGACTTTGCTCGTTCAAGTTTGTTTGCTGTCAAACCCTACGCCTGGAATCCTTGCCTGCCTTGCTAGCCATGGTTCAGAGAGAGGAGAGGCTGCTGGATGTGCTGACGAGTGCAAAGCTGGCGCGAGAAGGACGGGGGCTTCTTCGGCTTTCGCGGTGTTGGTGGTGGGAGGAGCATGGTAGATGAACATGAGAAGGAAAGACCATGACTATTCTAGTCACAGTCATTTCATCACCACTTCTACTCAGGAAAAACCGTCAGCAGTATTCGAGTCATTCCTTAATCTTCCTCTACCCGTGGCCCTGCCGAAATACCTTTGACTCGTGACCAGAGCCCCAAAAGGTGAGATTTGGGCGGCTTATCCCCAGTGGCGAAGAAGAACTTCTTTGGATCACCCCTGGGTGCCCATTTTGTGCTTGTTTGATTGCTTGGATTTGGGGATGAAAAAAGGGTATTGGAGGGTCCAGGCAGGAAAACCTGCCCTCGTTGTTTTCCGACATCCACTAAGAGCTTTCATTGAAATCCTGAGCAATCTATTGATGTATCGATAGTACTTCACCTTCATGGATGTGAGGAGAGCTTTGTGTGCACCTACTTCAAACTATATAATATACTCTTTGAAGCAACTGAACTACCCATCTTTCCAGTAGGTTCACGAGCTTGGTGCCCCCCGTGCCGAAGGGACTTCCAGATAGTCAAAGTATCCCATGACAAGTTTACCAGGCAGTGGTACTTTTGCTTTGGGTTTGGAGACCGTCAGAGAGACCAAGTGACCAAGGGGAACAAAAACCGGTGGTCGAATTCCTCCGCGTTGCGTCCGTCTGAAATGTACAACGGGACCCGTGGCCCTGGCAGGACCTGAGCTCCACGAGAATTGCACCCCGGGCACCCCGGGCACCCCGGGCACCCATCGATCACTTTTGGGAATCCAATCTCAGTCTCTTGGGTAGTAAGGTCCTAGTAGTAAGGCCAGGAGCCCCTAGTCGCTTCTTGTTACTAAACCAAGATCGCAACTGTTCAGGAGAGGTGAGCTGTGCCTTCTGCAGTTGTTGCTGCACGCTCACGCCCCGCCCGTTGCATGAAGTCGTGACCTACAAGGCTCAAACTGCAGGACCATCTGGGCGATCGGGGAGAGGGGACTCTACTTTAACCGTTAAAACTTTAACCTTTGTTTGGGGTAGGCCAGAAATGTCCCACAAGTCTTGGCTTGACAAAACCGACAAAACCATTCTGGACTTGGCTAGTGTTGTTAAGGTAGTGATACTTTTCCTGGGGGTGAGATATACAAGTGCACTTCCTCTCCAACTTTTGGAGAAGTGCTTTTTGTCCAACAAAAACCGTTTGTTTTTTGCAATGGCGCTATGATCTGCAGGAACCTCTTAGGACAGAAAGCCAAGTGGGCTAACAGGCCGCTCAAGTCTTGCTGATCACAGGGACATGACCCACAGAACCCTTGGCTGCGCTTCTTCGGTCGCAGATCAAAGATCTGCCGTGAGTTGTTCAGGTGCTTTTTTCATCCTAAGTGGTCCTGTGATATTGCTAGAATTGGGGTGTGTTCCAGCAAACCAATAACAGTAGGTAAAAGATTATCACTGAGAAATGCCTGCAACCTAGCCATCATCTCCACTGTTACCGGTATATAGTGGGATATACCCGAGATATGATGTACTCGCATCAACACTCCATATTTCCCAGCGACTCGCACCAGGATGCGACTGCTGCGGCTGGCTGCGGACGGTCTTGGGCCTTAGAGGAGCGTGTGTGGGACTGGTCGGTGGAAGAAAGACTTACTGTACATTTTGTTACCAACGTAGCGATGCACCTGTTGCTAATAGCGATGCCCTTGTTACGAACGTAGCTTCTTAGCTACTCATTTTGGATGCGAAGGACATCTGCCAAGACCTGCTGGCTCTTATTGGGATGTTTTGTCAAGGAGTCAAAGTTAAGACCCACATGGAGGTCTTGAGGTTGTTTTTTTTTGGGATAATCCTCATGGTCAACAGTAGTTGTGTCACAACTTTCTTCCGCTGGACTCACCAAGTCTTTCATTGGTTTGGGATGGTCTGAAACGAGCGGACGTCCCCGCTGTGGGGAAGACAAGGGACTTGCGAGGACGACCCATACTCCATGTGCTGCCACCACTCGTCCTCATCAGTGCCTTGTTGTGCAGGGAGGGTGACTTCCCGGGGGCCTCTGGGTTTGGCGCTTTGCGAAGCTCATTTGGATGGAACTGGAGAAGCCTCTAGAAATTCGACAGACAAATCTACAAGATGTTGGTTTGTTCCTTCCTCCTTCTTCCGAGGGCTCCAGCACCACACTCCGATTGTTTGCCCTTCAGAGGGCTCATGTGCTAGTGACAGTAAGTGCCACAAGACCGAGTTAATGCGATGTTGACTACCCAAGCAAATCGATTTTAATGACTACCTGAGTTGATTCTGTTTGTCATGTTTTGTTGCATGTCTTAAATGAAACAATTTTTTCATGTGTTGCTTCATGTCTTAAACAATTTCCCACCATTTTCTACTGGAACCTCTAACCACGAGGACAAGGGTGGGCATTGCAATCAGGTGCCATGACGATTCTTTGTGCCATGGTGAAGAACTCGAAGATGGTCTTTGGCACTGCAGTGGACATGCCACACTTGGAGGACATCCTCAAGGAGATCGGACCAAGGAAGGCCAAGGCAACTCCACCAACTTTCAAAGGGATTGTGGAAGATTAGGGCCTCTACCAGGGGTCCTGCGATTTTTGTTCTACCTTGGAATGCTTTGTATATGAATTAATTACAGTAGTTTTAAAATTAGGGACACATCGGGATGCTGGTCTTTGAACGAGAACACACAAGAATATGCACGGCTCATGGTGCATTAGGCCATTCTGCTCATGTGTTGTGGGTATTTTGCATCATTCGGCGTTCTCTCATAGACATCCACTTTGGTGGCTTCGTTCCCAACGACTCGTGGTCGGATCACGGTGGGATCACGTGACGGATCGGATCAACGGTGGTTTTGTTCGGTCTCCGGGATGACCCGGTGGGACATCGGTGAGGACGGTGCCATCCCCGTTAGGAAGTCAGGTCGTGCGCGGCGACGGAGTGCCATCCCTGCATAAGCATGCATCACAGTGACATCTGTGCATACCTTCCGTCGCATCACAGTGCGACATGCTTTCGAGTAAAAGAGCCTGTCAACGAATTCGATCCACCAAGCAGGTGTCCTACCAGGTCCCATTCGAAGATGCGGCCTGATATGCCCAGGCCCCGTCTCCCAGCTGTATAGAGCTCCTAACGTCAGCTTTCGCATTCAAGCGTCAGTGGCACTTTTGCAGGAGCAAACTATTTGGCACCCTGATAAACACACATGGATACCGAGGAGGAACATGCGTCTCCTGCAGAACCACATAATCCTTGAACATATAGCCAAGTAGCAGCTAGTGTGATCTTCAGGATAACTTTAGGTGATAAACACAAATCGCTTGTATCCCATCAAGATAGCCCATCAACCTCCAGGAGGACTATGCTCTTCTCCTGACCCCGCTCTCCTTCCTCTTGGTCTACCGCCTGAACCGCTCCGCGGTGCGCTTCTACGACGCCCGTGCGGCGGCGGGGAAGCTCATCGAGACCTGCCGCGTCCTGGCCGGCGAGGCGGTTCGCTTCTGTAACCACGACCGAGGCGCCGAGGGCGCCGCGTGGCGCCGCGTGGCCGGTTCGACTCTCCCACTCAACATGGACGTGTGAAGGTTTGAAGCTAGGCCGCTAGCCATCCACTTCCATGTTGGGTCAGAGTGTACATGTACAAGGTCGGCAAAGCACCACCCGTCCTCTCCACCACATCACCACTCACTTCACCTCATCCTAAAACCAGGCACGCAGCACGCACCAAACCGTGCATCAAACAGCACAAAATATAAGGTTACAACACTAGAGTGGAGCATCACACATCACATCATTACACTAGCATTCCCTTCGATCTTTGCTTCATACTTTTGCTTTGTCCCTTGGAAAGAACTTCTGCCCTGGGCGGCCCTCCCCCAACGGACCGTGCGGCGTGGGGAGGTTTCCCGGTGTCGCCTTCGCCGCGTGCAGGCTCCGGTGGTCTCCGCACAGGTCTCCGTTTCGAAACGGAGACCACCGGAGACCACCGGCGCTCCGCGGAGCTTCGTTCGTCTTTCTCCACCAGAACGGACAGTGCTTGGACATCGCATTTCGGACGTTCGAGCATGCAGAGGTCCCACAATCGCATGGCTTTTGGAGCTCCAAGGGATTTAAAGCTCCACCCACTGCTTGGACCCCAATCTTGTTGGTCCCACAAGGGCCTTGCAGGACCCCAAGTCAAAGCACTTGGAGTTGCTTCAGTCTTTGGACTCCCAAAAAACCAACTACAAACGTTCTCTTCTTTTTGGCTGCTTGCGGCTTCTCCTCGCTCCGCTAGGCGCGGTGGAGGAGCTTTGCCGGTGGATCGTGGCGTTTCCCGTGTGCACGCGCAACTTCTTACGCTCCAAGCCCTTCGAGCTTGACGAGTTAGAAGGAGCGATGGAGTGCGCCGGGCCCTGGGGCCCTGGGGTGGGGGGGTTCCCTGGAACCCTGGGTGCTATGTATTCTGTTGCTATTTGACCACCTGGCCGCATCAACACCTAGGCCAAACCTGGCCCCTTGTGAGGTGGCTTGAGAAGAGGATATTCTGCCACAAGGTTGCAGCTAAGGTAGTTCGGCTGAGCCGAGAGTCTAATCCGCAACAACACCCAGCGGTGCTGATCTGCTTTTCCGTAGCATGGCGCCACTGTCAGGTCAGGTGTTGAAATGTTCACCAGGCATTAATTAATCAAACTCCAAGGTGATGAACATGGCGGGTGCTAAGATTACGCGTTTTGATTTTGATCAAGTGTCAGCGTGAGGCAATCAGATGTTGCAATTGTCTCTCTTGCCCAATTTTTCTTCCCAAAGTGACAATCCTTTCAGCCGACAGGTTTGTATAGTACTTGTGTTGTTCGGAGGAGATAGCGTTTCCAATCAGGTGGGGTAATTCATAAGTCATTGGAACGCCCAGCGTGCTGCAGGAATTCTGAAGGACAAGGAGATTGAACGGCTGAAGAGGGCAACTGTCCAGACGCTCTTCTGTTGTGATCGGATGAGACAGGCTGCCTTGCGGGCGACCAGGCAAGTGGTAGTCAGGGCACTTGGTCGGCGGAAGTCAGGGCACTTGGTGATAATTTTTATTCTAATTCTTAGCTTCTTGTTTCTAATAGCTTCTTGATTCTAGTAGGAAGGCCAGGAGCCCCTAGTAGTGTCCTTGCTCCTAGTCTAGCGATGCCCTTTGCTCCTAGTAGCGTTCCTAGTAGTACCTGGCTAGCCAAGTTGGCCAGGTTTTGTGGCCAAGTTGGCTTCAAAGACATGCTCTGATTATCGATCACGTTTATCAATCACGCTTCTCGATTACTGTTTGAAAGAATGAGGGAGATGCCAACAACATCAGGGTTGTTTTAATATCTTTTGCAGGTCTCTAGCAGCCACTCAATGTGAAGCAACAAAACGCTTAGGCTCTGACACACTGTTCATGAACAAACCAGCACCTATCCTAATTAGTGGAGAGATGCCACCTTTGAATCTTTGAACGTCCACCAGACTGTGATGCTCTTTTGGGGATCAACGATTTTCGACAGCGGCAAGGAGGGCAAGGAGGGCAGGATTGGTTCATCAAGTGCAGCTTCGCATCACAGTTTCACAACCATGGCCCCCCATGATTTGCCATGTTTGCCCGCAGGAGTAACCAGAGGGATTCGGCCCCGCTAGCTGCTCATATGCTGCAACAGATGGAAGAGCATATTGCTACCCTGACTGGAGCCATGGGCGCAATGGAATCTCGGCCATAAGAGAGAATGCAACGTATACAGGTTTTTGTTCGGAAGATCTTTCAGTGGACCTTTCGGAACTTTCAGATGTCACTCGAAACCAGTGAGAAGTCAGTCGTGACTTCCGAAGAGAGGAACGGATCAACAACACTCCGTTGCCCTTCGCCTACGTCTCGCATTTGCGCACGTGCCTGGTGCTCTACTTGTTGGGTTTACCCTGGATGCTCCGGGCAGAGTCCTGGTGGTCAGTGCCGCTGGTGATTCTGATCTCCTATGCCACCTGGACCAGTAGACGAGGGAGGGGGCAGTGGGGCTGAGGGAGCAAGAGTGGAGAGTATGGAAATGACGCTGGCAGGTTGCTAGAGTGGGGATTTATCATTGGTGGTTGGGGTGGGTTTGCGGTTGTCGCGAATGAGGGCTCATGGCGTTTTTTTGGTATTTCAGAGGCCAACCCACCGTTGGTTAGCGTGGAACTTAACCCGCCCATGACCCCCATTGAACATCGTTTTGTTTTGCCTACAGGAGAGCCGCCCAAGAAGAAGCACGCTCTGAATCCTTCGAGCTCGCGCCTCTCACGTGACCAAGGCACTTCTGGGTGTTGAAGCTGCTGCGGTCGCATGTGAACGCCCTTTCCAAGATCAAGCGAATCACTTGCCTTTCGACCAGTTCGCCAAAGTGGTGGCTGAAAACGTCAGGCGCTTGACTCAAGCACCGCGCGAGAAGTTTGCGTTCTGTGGACGAGCCAACGCGTTTTTGAAGGTGCGAGCATGAATTGCTTTAGAGTCTACACTTTGGTGTTTTTGTGTGGTACGGCCCAGATTCCCCGTTCCCCATGTCTTAGATTCTTGATGAACCATGATGAACCGGGAGAAGATCACTGGAGTTCTAACAAGAACGTAAAGGTCTTTCAACCGGTACTCAGCCGGTACTCCTTCGTTCAATTCAGCTTTTCGTCTGTTCCGAAGACCATTTTGCCCGTTGGAAAAGCTCATCGCTTCGCAGTGAGTCCCACACGATGAAACGCTTGCTCAAATGAGGCACGACCGTGCCACCGACTAGCTTCCAAACACAGCCTGGCTTTTTTTTATTGCAAAACAAGAAGCTGTTTGTTGATGGTCAAAGGAGATGATTGGCCAAGGCAGATTCTTGAACAAGTGGAGGAGGCTGAGGCTTGCACTGAGGAGGGTGAGACAGCTTTGAGGCTTTAAAATTCTTTAACCGAGCCAGGAGAAAGATCCTGAGCTTTCGGCATCGATTGGTTGTGGGTCTAATAAGCTATATTATGCAGTCTCTCTCTAGAGTGGTCTGTGAACTAGCTGCTGACACACGTGACCCGCACCCGAATGCGCTTCATGCGCAGCGATGGTTGCAGCAACGGGGAGATGGTCATGCTGCAAAGAGGGCGATTTCCAGGGAGATCCCAGAGCAAACATGGATTAAACCCGGACACGCGGGGTCTCAAGGAACGGGTGCAACCATCCGTCATCGACATCCACTGACCCTTGTTGGTGGACCCAATTTGTCCTGAGTATCTAAGGAGATGCTGAGTGTCTAAGGAGATACTGTGGGGCCTTTGATGTTCGATCCGCTACGGGCCCGACCATGAGTACAGCGAGACGCGGCCTGTGGCCGAAAAAGGGCGGGTTTCTGCCGTGTTTGCTGCCTGTGTAGACCGAAACGGTCTTCTTAGTCTTAGTGCCTTAGTTCAGCTTGTTTCACTCATATATATATATATATTATATATAATACACACATACACACATAATATGCGGTTCATCCAAAATGGTTTCAGCGTCAGTCGCTAGGTTCAAAAGCCTAGGCTGAACATTTTGATCACATTCAGTGGATGACTTGAATCCTCAAAAGCACAGGTGCCGCTGGTTTCAGGGGCACAGATCTTCTTTAGGGCTTTGGTGGGATACGGAATGTGTCGAACTGAATGAATTTTGTGGGAGCTAGACAGCTAAGAGTCTCTGACGAGATGAGGAAGCCGTCCGGCTTTCATTTGAATTGAAGCAACCACTGTCGTGACCATGTCTTAATGCCTCAGAATGGGGGATTTCCATTGTTCCCAAGTGGTGCAGGTCATTGTCCAGATCTATGCGGATCACCGCCGATCGCTCGCCTGACGGGACTCAGGCGCTCACAGGTTTTTGCGGTTCCGGGACGCGCTGGGCCTTGCAACTTGGCGCCAACCCCCCCGTTGGGATGTTTGGGCCACGGATCCGGTCGACGCCAGTGAGGTCGACCAGCGAAAAACGATAGGTCGACCAGCATGTTAGTGTATAGTTATATATTTGTGATGTTCTTTTTTTTGTGGTTTCCGTAGTCAGGTCCTGTCATCAGGTACCAAAAACGTGGTTTGTGTACCAAGCATCTGAGTAGATGCTAAAAAGAAATGGGTACACAGATCTACATTGAGACCGCTGGTGAGCCCACGGGTCTGATTCAACCCTGGTGGTCAGCTTCTTCCTCGGAGCGGATCCTTGAGGCCTTTGTCTCCAGTGCGTCGCCATCAGGACGACAGTGCCGCGCAGCGGGATGGTTTGGGTGAGCAGCCCTGGCTGTAAATCCACTCATTTTTTTTGATGTCTGGAGGTTCTGGACTTCATTCGATGTTTTTTGTTTGAGTCCGCAATGATCGCAATGTTGCTCAGCTCCGTGGTCCTTTTTCGCTTTTCACGCTCCTGGAAGAGCGGGTTTTGTATGTAGGAGGAGCCATGGGAGCCACTCTCAAGACCTCAAGACCTCAAGAGGAAAGAGAATTAGGGCAAGTAGGGATAGCAGGGACGCTTTTCCATTCGAGAATAGGTTCCTGCATCTAGACCATCCTAATCACATGCGGTTCTCGGGACAGGAGGGATGAACATCCATCCACGGACAAGAGAACAAGGAGAACTACCACAGTCATGACTCCAATCTTATAGTGGTTTCAGAGTAGATGGCACTGGCACCCCAAGATGTCTTTATATGGGGTCCATGTAAACCACCGACATTGGGGTGCCAGTGCCAATTGCTCTGATGGCTGTAGGCAGGAAGAGCCAGGAGTGTTGCACGGTGTTGCGGTGGACCGGTCCGGACGAACTCCCGCAGGAGCCTCCGAACTCGCGCTCATTTCAGGCAGACGGGAGAGTTGCACCCGGCCGTTGCTGGCCGGACCCGGTGGCGGCCTGGCAGGCTTCGTTGATGAAGGATGTTTGTGAATTTGGGGGTTGGGTGGCCACAGCTTGTAACCCAACGTTGTCCAGTTTTCGATTGACAAGGCTTCTACACGAGATTTGCTTCTACCGGGCTCCCTTAGGTTCCTCCAACTTCATCGGATGCTTGACAACTCTTCCACCTTCACCGAGACATGACAGGAACCGAAGAGCTTCTCCCATCCCCTCGGTAAGACCGGTAGGACCTGCTCTTTTGAGAACCAGGGCCCCAGCGGCCTCGCCACACAGGAGCTGCCACGCCTGGCGGAGCACCTCCGAGAACGGAGCCTTGGGGGGGCCGGCCTCGGTCCGCGGCGAACGCGGCGGGGGGGGGCAGCAGGGCCATCCAGGTGAAAAGGGCAAGGCTGCTAGGAGCAAGAACGCTACGAACGTAGCTCCTGGTATTACTACTAGGAGCAAGAAGCTACTAGTAACAAGGGCATCGCTACTAGTAACAAGGCGCATTACTACTGTACTAGGGGTTGGGCGACTTTTCAGGCTCGGCGCAAGGAATGCGAGTCGACTTGGACACGCCATGGAGACAAGCTGTGACAAGCCGTCAGCAGCGATCCCTGTTTCTGAGACAGTGAGATTGGGACCTAGGTAACTCCACATCGTCTCTCCAAGAGCATGTAGATTCGTGGATCCCTATCTCCTGGATTTCCCGTGAATGCTTGGCCGTGCCCCCCCCAGCCGTACAGCATGGTGAAAGGCCCGCGAATGCGCCTCTCTAGGTCTGCGTGCGCATCCGGCCCCTGTCCTCCGATGAGGTGGGTGAGGGAAGCCCGGAAGAAGCGGATGAAACTGCTTCCGGCAGGCGGTTTTTTCAAGTTTGAAACCGAGGTTTCTCAGTTTCTCTTGGTGCAGGAACCTGGGACTGGGACCCATTCTGTTGTGCGAATTTGGTGCAGGCCAACGACGGTGACCTGCCAAGCATTGTCCCTGGGCCCCAGGCCAGTGGGAGTGAAATGGGTTAAGATGAGAACTGAACCGAATCCGTGGATCTTTAGAAAACCGGTAGACTCTGGCGCCGTTTTCTCTTCTTTTCACATGATCCTCACTGATTTAGCCGCACATTCTCCTCAGGGCAGCGGACTGCTGAAGCTCTTGCTTCTGGAGCTTCAAGCTTCCAGGTGTGAAGATCGGTCGCACGCGAAGCCGGCGATCTGTGTGGCGCTCGAGACGGTGATTGGGTCCAGTCTCTGGGCACCGACCATCTGGCCTCCAACCTAGTAGCGTCCGAACGCTCCCAGTAGCAATGCCAGGAGCCCCTAGTAGTTTCCCCTAGTTCTTTTTTTCGAACCGTAGGAAGCAACTTGGGAATATCACTGATGACTGTTCTGGCCTTCCGCCCCTCCACTCCCACCTGCTTCTTCTCACAGAAGCTGCATGGAGGAACTCCACCGATGAGCTGCGGAGCCATTCGAGCTTAGTAAGGCGAGCCTGAACGTGAAAGTTGCCCCAAACATGGTCAAGTCCGGTAAAAGGTTGTGGTTCCTGGGGTTGAGTCATGTCATGGGACCCGATTCCATGGGTCACCACAGAACCAGAGGCCGAGGCCCATAGAAGTGTCTCCATCCTCACCTGTCCCCGAGCTCGCTCGCAGACCGCCTCTCTAACATCCGGGATGTAAGACATGTCCACCACGGGATATTCATGGTCTTAAACGGGAAGCCGCCTAGCCCCTGGCTCCTCCCGGGATTTTGAAGCAACTCCACTGATGCTGTGGTTTGGACGTACTGTTTGTACGGATCGATGCCCACCAAGTCGGGGTGAGTTAGCCGAGTTCACACTGTCAGTGCGCTTTAAGGTGGTGTGTTACGGTGTTTAGTCCTCTGCACAAGCACAATTGGCCAACCCCACTAGTGTCAGGCAAGCAATTCCGGGTGAAGCAGGATCCTTCCGCCATCAGGAGCTGGCCTCGCACCTGGGAATTTGTTGGGAGGCCCAGTTTCCACTCGTTTGGGACGGGCCGATTCGGTGGGTGGCAGCGAATCGCAGTGGTTGCCCCATCTGGTTCCTGGATGAAATGAGTTCTTCATAGGTCACCAGTCACCAGTTTGGATTTCAAAGCCGTTCGACCTCGATTTCTCCACCTCGGTCCCCGCGACTGACCGCCCTCCCGGACGGTCCCGCCACGTTACGGTAACGGGCGGGTGCGGAGGACCGGCGGAGAAGACCGGTGCAAGGATTCCCAAGGAAGCTTCTATACACCCGACTCCATGGGACTGGACATATATGCCGCCCCATTGACCTCTCTGGCACCACCCCAATGTAGGCATTCATGGCATACATAGAGTGTTTGGGATAGTTATATACTAGAAAGCTTTACTAAGAAGATTCTTTTAGACATCCTCAAAACCTGGCTGTGTCTAGTTTGGTAAAGGCCAGGTGCTTTGCTGTCAGGACATGTCACATCATGCACAACATAGAAATTTACATGTACGAACTGGCCCAACACAGATAGAAGATGGTAATTGGCTTATAAGTGCCTACTAACAATAGAGGTGACTGCTTGTAGTGACACATGGCTGCTGACCCAAGTGATTACGAAAACAGCGACAACCAATCGTGACTCCTTGTGACTTTCCCAGCGGAAGCCATGCCGTTCCCGGAGCTCCAAGGATTGGGTGATCTCAGGCCGTGGCTCCCAGGCTTGGGATCGCTCCGGCCGTGGTTTTTTTGGGATCACTCCGGCCGCTACTCTTAGCGATGGCCTCCACCCTAGTTGCGTCCTTGCTACTAGTAGTAATGGACTTGTTTCATCCGAATCAAAGGAAGGAGTGAAGCTGAGGGATGGTCCAAATCACCAATGTTGTGCAGAAGGTGATGTTGTGCAGAGCAAACAAACCAAGCACCGGACCAAGCACCTCCAACAGTTTGTTGGGAAGATTGCTTTCCACTTTATGAAGTGTGTGCTATTTTAGTTGCAACGCCCTGGATGTGAGGGGATCCAATGGTGCACCAACACGTGTGCGTTCTTTTCGGAGAAAACTGAGATTCAGAAGATCTGCAAGAGCCATCCGAGCCAGTAAATCGATTACGGACCTTCCCACTTTCCAAGTTGTTTTCGATGGGTCGGCTGACTCTACCGATCACATATTGACATACAACGAGTACTCATTCCAGGACGTTATGACAAGCCGTTCCAAGGCAGAGTGTTTGTGATTTGTTTCATGTCACAGCGATCCCTGATCCCTCCCGGGCAACGGGTTTTCTCATCAATTTTTTCCTTAGACCATGCGTCCTTTGGATCAACTTATATAAGCCGAAAAGAGACAGGCTCGAAAAGGAGCAAGACTCGATCTTTTTCGAGCCAACCGAGTGTCCAATCGAAGGCCTCGGTCTACAACCTCTTCGGGCAACATTTGGTGCAACACGCGGTGGACGGCGCGGTGGTACCGGGCGGATGCGTGGGGCTGATGTGCAGGGAGTTCCTTTTTGGATTGGAGGTGCGAGCAGCTTGCTGAAGTGCCAGAAGCTTGGTGGGGGAAGGAGCATCTTGCAGACAGAATGGAGCTGTGCTGTTTTCGCAACAGGACGCCGATTTACTTGGGCGTGGATCCAACAAAACCACCACCCAGCACCGTCTCCGCTCTCCGAAGCCTTCCGCCGGACCCACTCATGGGCGGCCCGGACCTTCACCCTTCCTCCGCGCGCATGGGCGGATCGCTCGCCAGGCTTTCATGGCACCGTGATCGCATGTGGGTGGGGTGGCCCGGAAGTCGGTTCAGGGTCGGAACGACTGGGTGTGGAGTTTGGGAAGACGTCAACGCCATAGGTTTGGACTTTGGATCTGTAGAAAGACTTCCCTTTTTTGTCCGCAAAAGGTAGGACATCACCGGCATTTACCCAATAGAATGTTGAACTCAACCTTGACTTGGCATCACACAAGACTATATGCCGAGCCATGAACCCGTGCCAAGAACAATACGATGAGTGCTATGGGGCAATCATAGCGACCCTCATAGTGACCCCATGGGAGTTCGGGGTAGAAGCGGCGCGGGAACCAACCAACATTTTCCGCTCCTCCTTGAATGTCCAAACCCTTTTTTGTGGGAAAAACGACCGCCAGTGAAGCCATCTCCAGTGAAGCCCGTGGCCCGAGGCCCTGTGGGAGTGGCAAGAGCCACACCATCTTCGGCGGACGTCAGCAGGCACCGGAAGACTCGGGGCCGCGGCACCATCACGGCTCAGAGCCGTGGTGTGTGCGGTTTAGAGTTCGAGAAGGTTTTCGGAGACTCTGAAGCAGCAATCAAGGCAGTGGCTCACAATCAATGGGGGTATGAATGAATGAAGCTTGGAAATCGACCAAATCCCTCAACAGCAAGTTATGTTTCGGTTGGCAAGCTTGCATGTGAACCTTGTGCTTGAACTCCTCGGCCAATTTTCAACAGAACATCCAGCACCTGTGTGCCTGACCGCCTGTGACCCTTCAGCGTCACCTTCTGAGTGATGGAGGAGTTCTTCCCCAGAACTCCTCAGTTTTTGAGGTTTCTTCCGCGTCGAAATTCGGGGTGTTCCAGAGACCCAGAGAGTCTCCAGAGACCCAGGGAGTCCCTCGCCAGCCTGGCACCACAGCCTTCCCTGCGCGGGCGCTCGCAGTCCAGGAGCAACAAGGCTTAGTCCCCCGCTTGGCTGAGGGCCTCTTCCGCCTGCTGCGCTCCAAAGGGGAGGTGCAGAAGACGTTGGTTCCACAGACTGAAGGTGGAGGGTGAATGTGAAGGTGATGTTTCCGAAGCGGAATGATTTCATATCACGTATGTTATTTATTTTCCGGGGATTTGTTCGAAGGTTTTCCGTCGCTGTCCTGCTTTTTGATGCTGTCTTTTTTAATGGGGCGGCTTTCAAGCCTCCTTGGGGTCTTCAGATGTTTGAATCGAAGGGGTGCCGGCCTTCCGCTCAAACTGGTCCTCTGCGTTCGTTTCGGCTTTCCGAACCCCCGAAACACCATCCACCACTTTTGGGGATTCTTGGCCTTGCCTTTCGCCAGAAGCACATCGTGAAGTTCTCCTACCTGGAGCTTTACAATGAGCCCGGGGCTTTGGGCTTCGCCCCACGCGGGGACCCAATGAAAGGCATTTGTGAGGTTCGTCTGAGATGGATGAAAGGGATTTTGAAGGTCGCAGCATTGATCGATACAAAGCATGGCAGCTGTACAGACTCCAAGCAGAGAACTTCAGGTGAACATGTCCATCCCAATTATATTGTGCTCACTTCCCCAGTTTTGATATTTATCCCATTGGTGTGCCAGCCCCACACAGTTCAGATCCACAAAAAAAAGGTGGGTCTTGGCCCTAATCATTCTCCACCTTTATTTCTGTGGATGATCAAAACCTCTTCAATTTAGAAAGGACACTGCCCCGACTCACCTACCAGTTCTTTTCACCCGCGCGGCCCGCTCGGCTACAGGCGCTTGAGTGACCTCTTGCGGCCACAGCAGCGGAACCCACCCTTCCTACGCGCGCCACCTTTGGAGGTATGAGGGTGAGTTGGGAGAAACGCCGGGCGAACCAAAGGAAATACATATAAAGTAGAAACCTAGGCTAGTTCAGTATAAAGTCCGTGGTCTACCCAGCATACATCAAAGTGCAAGCGCCCCAAACATCCCAAACTGGTTTGTCCAGTGGTGTGGTTGTTCAACTGGTAGACTCTCCATCTCTTAGATGTAGACTTCCACACGCAGAACAAAAGGGCAAAGGGAAGGTGTCAAAACTTGGAGATGGATTTGCCTGATTTATAGGAGGCCTCTTTTGCAAATAGACCCGAGTCCATTACATTTTGGATCCTTGATCCCAAATGACCAACACTTCTTGCTTTGGCAGAGCGTTGGAGGAAGAAAAAGAGGAACACCAGAGGAGGGCGATATCTATGTGTTCGGACCCACCAGTTGTTGTTTTTTTGGCAACCAGATGTGCATTCCGATCCGTCCATCCGGATGATTCGTCTTCGGTGAACTAACCCCCAAGCAAACAAGAAGGAGGCCCCGGTGACAGCGTTGAGGTTCAAAAGTAGCCTGTGGGTGGGAACAACTACTGAATCGAACGCTAGCATGGGAGGGCCATCGATGGATGACACATGGTGAAAAGGATGACTGTTTTGGATATAGCTGTTGAAGAACATAGCCAACATCTTAGACGTTCTTCGGCGCTTTTGGCGACAATCTAAGGTGTGAGAGGTTGGCTAATCACAGTGGATGGTTTCTGAACAAAGTCCGAGGTCAGAACAAGGACAACATGCATGGACTATTAGTGGCCCAAGAAGAGACACCATGCAAGGGGCCAAGGGATTCCGGGGGGCTATGGGATTTGGACTTCCTCGGACACATTTGAAAACCCTTTCAAACCAACAGCAGGTGAGGCAGCACCCTCGAGTGGGTGTCTTTGTGGGCAGTCCGACCCTCGGGAGATGTGGCAAGCCACGAAATGACACATCTAACATGCGGTAACACTTGGATCATGCTCATGCAACCTTTGTCACTTCAGAAAACTCTTGTCCTGAAGCATATCTCTGCAGCTGCGCAGGGCCCCAATTTTCCTCGGGCCTGGGGCCGGTCTCGTCCCGCCATGAACGCCTTCGTCTCTGTTGGCGCTGTGTCGGCCAAGTCCACCTCTGCCGTCGCGCCCGTCGCGCGCTCCGCGGGGGCTGCGGCGAGCGGGGCGCGCTTGACGCAGCGCGGTGGACGGTCGGCGCCGGCGCTGAGCGCCATGGCGATGGGCGCCGGGCTGGTGGCGTTGCGGCGCCTGGGCGGTCGTGCCCGTGTGCGGGGCATTGGGCAGTTGAGGCCCTTGGGGCGCCCTCTGCAGCGCAGGGCTGCTGCGGTGATGGCGCCACCGGAAGAGATCTTGGGCATCAAGCCAGATGGAAAGTACAACGTGCCTGCCGGGGTGAGAGAAAAGCTGGGGAAGAATCTCTTGTTGAACTCCAAGCATCCCCTGGGGATCCTCTGGAAGACGGTCCAGGAGCAGGGTGTTGGAAGGTGAGCAAGTCAATGGAATTGGCCAATGGCCAGTCTTTGCGCATATATTTATAATATGAGTTTCTATATAGTTATTTAAGTACATTCGGTATATACAGCTTTAATCGTAGGTGTTCGTTTCTTTTGAACAACCATGGCAACGGCCAAACACGCAAGGGGCTTGCCGTCTAGCCCATTCCTCGAACGGCGTGCCGTCAAGCCGTCTACCCGAAGAGATCCCATGTTCCGGTCCGGTCCCCCGTCGCCCCCGTGGGGACGCCGTCCACCTGTGAGGAGTATTTCGCCGAGCAGGATTCCAACTGCAAGTTCTTCGACACTGAGAAGCCGGTCGTCTCCACCGTGGACTGCTTCGACAAGCTGCGGGTGCCGCCGGATCACGCGACTCGGAGAGGACGAGGGGAGGGATTGGGGAGACCCGAAGAGAAGAGAGGAGAAGAGTCGGGTGTGTTCGGAAGGTCTAAGCACACTGGGCACACGAGTGTGTGTGAGGAAACTTCGGAAACCCTGACCAATGAGCCTGGGCAAGGCGCTGGGCGAGCAAGATGTGTTTAGGTCGGAAGGCCTGGGGGAGAGAGTGAAGACGGAAGAGATCCGGATGGAAGAAAGAGACTGGCAGCACCTGGTCCCCCAACCCCAGTAAATCAATACCATGCTCATCTCCACGCATGCTGCTCATCTCCACGCATGGTTCCAGTGTCTGGGAAAAAAAGCCCACTGAGTATTTCTTGGCTTTGGAACCTGGTGACGATGCCAGGTGATGCGCCAGGTTTTCAGGAACTCACCATGTTTCTATGTTTTCAGCCCTTTCGATTCAATGAGCTGTAAAAGTTGGCGCACTGAGCAGTCCGAACCTTGCAGATGGGTTCCTGTGACGCAACCACATTAAGCAGTCTAGTTTGGCACTGTGTCAGTGTTGTTCACCACCTTTCAGGTCTCGCGGTCGCCGAGCGACACCTACTACGTGAACGCTGATTATGTGCTGAGGACACACACATCAGCTGCCTGGATTATGATGAAATTATATATAGCTCACTCACAGTGGTGATGTGCGATGCAGTTTTCTGGGGATGACTTTGAGACCACCAAGAAGGGGCCCAAGGAATCCCAGGCGAGCTACTGTGCCCCATCGGTTAACCTTTGATTTGTGGCTCGCCAAGTGGACCCATCGATCCATGTGTGTAACACGTGGCACGTGGTGGATCGTTGGAACTGATTCGCATATCGAGGGAATATTGTTTTTACACGCCTTGAAATATTCATGGAAGTGGAAAATATTGGAAAATGGTCCCTTCAACGAACATTTTCCTCTAAAAACAGGTGATTTTCCACTTCCATGATTATTTCAAGGGGTGTAGTACCAGCCCGGACTCCAGCTTACCACTTTATGGCTAAGGTAGGCAAGGACTGGAAGGATGTCATATGGAGCTTCGAAAGAGGGGAAGCCTGGTTTGGTGAATGCATGTGAATGCTGAGGCACATCAGTGCCAGTTTCTCAGCCAATATCCAGAGATCACTTCCTTCCTTTGCGCGGGCGATGTCTACAGAAGCTTGTGTGGAAGGGAGCTGGGCCACTGGGGTGGCAGGAACATGCGTCCGCTGATGCAGCATCAACGCCCAAATCTCTCAGACAAAGACATATTTGTCGAAGAAAACCACTGATTCATACAGCTTTATGATCTTTATTGATCAAATTTGATCAACAGTCTACATTAAGCGGAAAATCAAACTGTCTTCCAAGTCAAACCACGCTGCACGTCCATGTCGACGTCTTCGTTGTGTACTGTACATCAGAAGAGCAGTAGCTGTGCAAGCGCAGTGCCCTGACCGCCGGTGTGCCCAGCCCCCATTCTATTTTTCTTCTCCTAACAGGCAGCGTTGGGCCTGAATTAGGTTGAAGTCCCTGACAGGTTGAAATCTCCGTCTTTGTGTTGGTCTGTCATGCAGTTTTTGCTCGGGTGAGTTTCTCGCATGGCATGAGAAGAAGACTGAAATGCACCCTCAAGAAGAAGACTGAAATATAAGACATTCATGGCCAAGAAAGGGGCAATTTCTGGGCTATGCTTGTGGCTCCAGACTCTGAGATATGCATGTGGTATACCAAACACCCCCGACTACCGCAGGATGAGGATTTTCCAGGTGTCCTACCTACAACGGGTGGGCCATCTCAGCCTTCCACTGCCCTCCACCTTCAAACCTTCAACCGCCATGGTGCCCGCGCGGCCGCGGCTCCGCCGCCACGTCGCCCAGGACGTGATGAGATCGATGCGTCGCACTATCCCGCCTTCCATCAGTGCGAGGGCGTCCGCCTCTTCGACGCGCAGAAGGCGATGGGGTCGAGTCTGGAAGCCACGAGACCTGGAGTCCGGAGGTCGGTGGGAAGCCCACAGACCTTCCCTGGGAATTGAAAGTGGAAAACGCCCTGGTTTGTAGAGGAAAATGGTCTTACAAGGAGCCGATTTCCACTTCAGGGAGTGCATTTGGTAGTCTGCAAATTGAGGACGAAGGGATTGCGAGCCCCTGCCTGCAAGCACCCTATACTATAGACATTTAGGTGTTCTTTTCCGCCGGTTCGTCCGAAAATTCCTGCCGAACCTGCCGAACTTGCCCGGCCGTCTCCACGGGTCAACCACAGGTGTCCAAAGAGGAGGTCATGGAAGACTTGAAGAAGACCTTGGAGGTGCCGTGCAGCGCGCAGCAGCGGGCGCGAGCATGGGTAAACGTCTCGGGAAACGTCTCGGTTGCCTATGACATACTATGATATATATGGTTACCCGCCCCCGGGAGTAAAGAGTAACACACCTCGATTCTCTTATTCCGTAGTGTTTCGGCTGTGGAGGGTAGATGAGCACCTGCAAAGGGTGCAACTCACGCCTTCGTAAGCCGGTAGGGTCGTCGGGGTTCTGTGACCCTTGTTATTTGGTGGTACGAGTAGAGCGGCTCGTATTCACCCGGTGTCCTCCGCACACTGCCAACGATTTGGTGGACTACCTGAAGAAGGTCACTACAACCTTGGAAACTGCCTGTGAAAAATTTGAATCTGACCGTACAGCTGGCTTCGTCAACGAATTCGGGGAACCCATTCCTGGAGCTCGAGATAAAGTATCTGGCGCTGCAGCAGGTGGAACTACTTTTGATCAAGGTATCCATCCAGGCTCCAAGGACCAGCATACAGAGTCGGGGAAGGAGCCCTTGGTCGACGCAAAGGAGAGAGGCTCATTGAAAAGGGATCGGTCCCGTCGACGCCGGAGGTCAGGGAGCAAAAGCCGAAGGTCACGGTCTAGACACAGGTCACGGAGGAAAGACAAGGACGCAGCACCGGGGAGCCCAGTCCCTGTAGCCACTGCCACCGAGGAGGACGAGGAGGACGAGCCAAGGCCTTCTTCAAAAGTTGAGGAGGAGGAAGAAGAGGTTTTGAGTGAGGGCGAGGCCCAATCAACAGAAGAAGTACGTGACGACGTTGGGTGTGACAAGAAGTTTGAGCTCAAGCGAACTGCAAAGCCATCGGCCCGGAAGCCTTTGCCCCGCAGACCTCGCTCACCCTATTCACCGCTAGACCACCGCCGTCAGGAGGAGCGGAAGCCAAAGAAGTGGAAAGGATTCAAACACGTCATCAGAGGCCAGACATACTACAACAGCGGCGCAAGCCGTGGAAAAGGCACAGGAAAAGGGAAAGGGAAGAGATGGCACCAAAGGTGATTCGAAGGCCAGCGCTTGGGCCCCGACGCCCAGGTTTGTTGAGGCGGCCAGCAGCTCTGGATCACGGGGACCGGGGCGAGATCCCTGCCCTCAGGGAAGATCTAAACGTTGGGGACCTCATCCATGGAGAGCAGGCGACCTACTTTGGGACCCCATGCCAATTTTCTGGCAAGGTCATGGAAGAATGGAAGGACTTGTCGGGAAAGTACTACATGGTGAAGCTCTTTGGCACGGACCTGGAGGCCCTATTGACCTGGGCAAGCGGCACTACGGGTTACGCCAGAGTTCACAAATGCATGCCAGACTGTGGACGGGATGCCGAAGGTCACTACGGGCGACGTCGGGTATACGCATTTTGGAGGATCTTCGAGAACAGCCTTGGCGAGATGTCCTCATCAGTGCAGGGAGACGCGAAGGGGACGAACTGGCAGGCTTTGGGAGTCGCATGGAAGAGGTCGCAGCCCCAGCCCGAGGAGATCGCGAAGTGGGAGAAAAAGAAAAAGGAGAGAAAAAGGAGGTAAAGGAGAAGGAGAAGAAAAAGAAAAAGGGAAAGAAGAGGAAGCGAGCCAGGAGTTCTTCGACTACAAGCTCGGAGGTCAAGTACAAGGCCGAACAGTAGGTGATGTTCGGGGGAAGTGGTCTCGATCCCCTGAAGAAGGCTCGCAACCGCCAGCGACGAAAGGCTCAGAGATATGCTCAGAGATCTCAGGGCAAAAAGGCTGCGAGCAAGGGCAGTTCAAGCGAGGATGGTACAGCCCTCAGGGGACAGACCATTTTCGGGGAGCCACAGCGTGTCAGGGCTGTGGCTTTAAGCTTGCTGAGTTCTATCGGCCCAGGCCATCGAGAATATGCAGGAGTTGATGCTTTCGGAAGCAGGACAGGAATCAAGTCACCGCTAGTCCCTGATTTGGTCCTGCAGAATATGGTCAAATAGAGCCTAAATCATGGACATTTTACCTTTGCCACTAGCCTATTGGCATGTTTTACGGCATTATACACACAAGTGATTTGGTGGACATAGTCCGAAGCCGAGTCGATATTGTCCAAAGCAGAGTCGAGGTTTTTGTAGAGCTCCGTACCGCTGTTAAAGCCCTTGGTCTGAAAACGACCGAGCACCGAGCCTGCGGATCAGGACAGTTTTTCAATAGGGCAGGACACCTCTTACCGCCTTGTACAGCCTTGGACACAGCTTGCGTCAGCTTACAAGAGACTTTGTCTCTCGCCACCTCGTTGGCGGAAATTGTTTAAAGCATGCATTGAGAGCCTAAAATGAGAACCTGTGGAACTCAGGCCTTGCCAGTTACGGCAAGGAGGAGCCACACGGTGGTTCTGCCAACACGGACATCTAGATCGGGTCATGGTTTTTGGGGCGGTGGCCAACCTAAGAAAGTGCTCGATGGTATTTGGATGAGTCACAGGCCTTTTTGGCCGAGAGGAAGTTAGGTCTTTACTGATAACATTGGCACCTTTCGGAGCTTTTATTCGAATTAAACCACCAAAATTTTTGAAACACTTGAGCCGTTGCAAAGCAACAGGCCGTCCTCGTCAAAGCGAGGCCTGGGGGACTTGGAAGAAACAGAAAGATTTGGAAGAAAGAGAAAGATTTTTAAAAAGCCAGCAGAGAGAGAAAGAAAAACTGCTGGTGTCCCTCAGGACCTGGCCAGTTGGGGTGTGGCCCACCTGGTCAGGGGGGGACGATTGTCCGGGAGCGCCCCCTTCTCTGTGTTGTGGACTAAGAAGGGGGGGGACAATCTCTTCGACTTGTGGGAGTTCTTTTTTGTTCCCAATTGCTTGAATTTTGTGACAACTCAGCTGCAGAGCGAATAAGAAAAGAGGTGCTGCTTACTCTTTATATATATATGATTATATATGTATATACCAGGACCCACAAGGAGTGGTTAATGGACACCTAAACCTCTAAGGGGCTACAATTTGACGCCCCTTAGGGGGCCCTGGTATATATATATATATAGGGGGGAAAATCCGGGCGAAGTGTCCCAAGTTTGGGATGAAGGTGACAGCAGACCCAGACACTATTTTGGAATATGAATCTATGTTTGCTGGGTTCCCACCTTTCTGGTACCACTTTTGAAACGAACGACGCAGCTTTCTGAACTGGAGTGCCAAGCAGTTGCTGATCACGGGGTGAACTTCCAAGCCAGACTGGGTGGGATTTGCTCATGCATTCCAGTCCCTTGGAGTCGCAGGGCTTGGCAGCACACCTCTTCCAGCTGAAGACTGGCGAGGACACCATGCGCTGGCTCGACGAGCTGCTCAGCCATGGGGTTTACGTGCGGCTCGCGCAGGGCGCTTGAAGCAGTGGGGGTTTTGGGAGGTTTGGTTCCCCCCACGCGCGTTCAGTTTGGGATCAGTGTGCTGCATGTGAGTGTTTGTGAAGGAACTTCACTGCGCGCGTGTGTGCCGTTGTTTTTTTCTTTTTCGTGCTTTGCACACCGAACCATACCGAACCATCACATCCTCGCTTTAACATCCCATTGAACTTCTCCAGACCAGACCGGACCGGCTTCAGAGATCAGGTATTTCCCCTTTACCGAGCCCTCCCTCGAGCTGGAGATCTTCTACAACGAAGACTGGATGGAGGTCTTGGGCTGCGGTGCTCCTCGGACGAAGTTATAGCGCGTGTTCCACGTCGTTTCAAAAAGCGGTGCGCTCTTGGTAGGTGTGGTATGTATAGTGAGGTGGTGGTGAGGTGGGGCGGCAGATTGATCTGGCGTGTGTGGCTTGACCGATCTTAAATTAGAATAGCCTGCAGAGAGGTAGTGAAGATATGCCAAAGTAGTTGAAACAGTTTAGGTGACACAACATAAACACACCCGAAAGGGGTAGTCTATTCTTGTTCCAGTGGTGTTCCCAAAGCGTTCTTAGCTCACCGCTTTTTCATGAACGACCCTTTCCACCGTTCGCCAGTCTGGTTTCACATCATGTGAGGGGGTTTGGGAACTCTGGCAATCGCAAGCGTCACGGGTGACGGACTCACGAACCTCTGTCCAGTTCGTCACCTCACCGACGGTGAGGTGATCCATCACGATGTGGGGAGCCCCGTGGAGGGAGTCCGGGCGGATGTCCGAGTCTGGGCGGGAGCGGAGCGACGTTCCTTTCTTCGCTTCGCGTGTTTTCGTCTCGACCGGCATCGACCGGCCCAATTGGTGGGATTCGAAGTTTTTGCGGTTTCAAGTCCGTCTGTCAGCAGAGCCAATTGATGTGAGTTCGACGCCTGCGGGGGCTTTGCAACCTGCATGCGACGCATGTGCGACGCATGTGCGACGCATGCATATGCCCTTGAAGTCAGAACTGATTCCTGATTTGCCTAGTCATCCTGATGACTTCGAGACTCTTGAGGTGCTCCGGAACGCTGGCTTGGATCCGGAGAAGGCGGATGGGGTGATGGGAGCACCGGCTTGGATTGTAGATACTATGAGAAGAACACTGAAAAATGAGACGACAAACATGGAACATAGAACTTAGAGCATATATCGAACGATACAGCTAGTGCAGAAATACAGCTAGTGCAGATGGTCTGGAGCAAAAAGTATTGTGTCTTTGAGCCATTCTCCTTTCGTCTGGATGCACCTCTTTGCTTGGTGCGTCGGTCTGGAGACACGACCAACACGAACGAGCTCGGCACAGTTCAACGCCGCTCGGTCGCTTTGCTCGGTGTATTGGAGATAGCTCTGGTGATCTCTGGGATGTTGAACTAGTAGCGCTCTTGTTACTAGTAGCTTCTAGCTACTAGATGCTACTAGTAGTAATGCCGCAATGCCCTTGTTACTAGTATGAAGATGGGGGATGTTAAACTCTTAGCGTCCCTGATACGCTTACCAATTTCTGCTCCACGCGCTGTAGTTTGTAGTTCGTAGTTTGGGTGTGCGATGGTGTGTGCTGAGTGCAGTTTGGGTTGGTGACGGTCTGTGTGTTTTGTTATTTTTCTACTGTACATACGTCTCCGACCTCGCAACACTTGAGCAAGGACCCGAAAGCGAGTGATCAACTCGCTTGACTCTTCGATCGACACATGAATCATGAAGGGATCGATGTGCTTGGATCGAATGTCTCAGTTCGTCTTTTGGGGAACTTCAGTGAACCCTTGCCGCACGGTACCTCCGCGGACCCCGCGGACGGCCGACCGGACACGTCGTTCCATGCAGCGGCGCCCGTCGGACGCGTTGCTGCGCCGCGCTTTCTCGGCGCGCAGGTGCATGGATGGGCCTTTGGGCTTGGACTGGAACGCTTAGCCATGGCCACTTGGACTGCCACGCTGGGCCTTGCGTCGCAACGGGCCATCACGGGACGGAGGGACGATTCCCACATTGCCCCCGAGTTGGTGATACTTCTTTTTAGGCTGCAAAGATGATATGTTGGGCCAAAACGTGCAATGTAAAAGACATAAGTATCGGCTGGGAATGCCACATGCCATTGTTCGCCTATACCCTGGTGGGGATCGCACGCTTCCGCTGGTGATTCTCCGATGTAAGGGGAAAACCCGGGATTCACAAACGCAGTCGCTTCCCCCCCCACTCCTGTCGCCCTCCCAACTTCTCTTCCATCCGGTTCGCCGTTCCCCGGTGACGTCTCACCCCTTCGTCGCGCCGTCTCCTTCGCCCCGCCGCGGACTCGCCGCGTGCGGACCGCCCCGCGTGTTCGCCCTGCGGAGCGTGTGCTGTTTGGAGCGTGTCCGTGGAGCGCGGAGAGGTCCTGTTCGGCATCCCCGACATCCGCCTCTTCTGGTCGGACGACGCCCGCTTCGCCCAGCAGTTCAGCGAGGGGAGCTTCTCGGAGCCGCCTGGACGGAACCGGAGCCGGGCGCGGTAGTTCTTGGGGAGATCGGGTGGGTGGATTCTCTTGGGAATGGGCAAGATGATGGGGAACTGTAGGTGAGGTTTTTTTTGGGCCGATCTGGTTTAGTTCGGATATTTGGTGAAGTTGGATGGGGATTGGGAGCTCTTCTATTATTGTTTTGTTGTTTGAGGAGTCAGCCGTCAGCCTGCTTAGTCTTAGTCTCTGTCTACCGTAGTGTATGCAATCCATCAGTCTAGAACCCTGGTCCACCCTGAAGTTCTCAGGAATTCTATAGACCAAACATCGCAAATTGGGTCATTTGTCGAAATCGCAGGGCAGCGCAGGGGGGTTGCATAGTCACAGTCCAAATCCGGCCATACCGCGGTCCGGCCATGTCTTGAGTTGCCCGGCACGGCAGTTTGCCTGCGTCGCGCGGAGCGTCGTGTCGCGCGACCCTACGAGGAAGACCAAGTTCAAGCCTTTCTCCAAGTACCCGCCGGTGCTCAAGGATCCGTCTCACTCATGGGCGAGGGGTGCGCCATGAGGTAGCCGCCCCTTTTTTTGTCCGTCTCATCTCCCCAAAGACGAAACTTGAGGGTTGTCCGCAGCTTGGGAGACCCAGGCATGGTTGGGTTGAGACACCCAAATTGACCACAGAGGTTCCGAGGAAACACTGGAGATCTGAGTGTCACACCATCTGTGTGAGCTGCTTGATGTGAGAAGGATCACACCCAGCCAACCAGATAGCACCTTGTTCAGGATAGCACCGCACTTGGTCGTTCGTGTCTCAGAACCAATTCCGCACTTGTATATCTGAATCTGGTATATAGTGACTCTTCTCCACCTTCTCTATCGACTGCTACTCAGAACCCAAGCTATAGAGGCATAGAGGGGAAGTTCCATATAGGGACATAGCTCTTTTTTGCCCAAACATATCAGTGCAGTTCCATAAACAGCACAGTAATTTGACAAGTGCAAGGGGAAAGTAGCGTCTCCTTCCTTCGGGTGGCCATTATTGATGCGACCCGATGGTCAGTTGAATTTCTGACTCATCATCACTGTCGAAACCGAAATCGGTTCAGTAGAACCGAGTTTGCTTGTGCAGGAGGGTCCTGGTAGAAGAAGCTCCAGCAAAACCAAGGTCATCAACTTGAGTGATTACCCATAGACCTCATGTCTTCTTAATTTGTTCCTAGTAGCTTCTTGTTGCTGGTAGCGATGGCCTCCAACCTACTTGCGATATCCTCCACCTAATAGCGTCCTCTTTCTTTGTTCCGTACCTCCGTTCCTTTCTTGAATCTCCACGGGACCTTCAGGATCTTGTAAAGTGTGCTCCGGCAGGACATCAGTATGTGGATCCCCGAGGATTTTGTGGACAACGACCTTTTCGAAATGATCCGTGACGAAGGGGGGGGACCAGGTGGGACAACGCACACCCAAGTCTCTCTACCGGGCCCAAATCGAGACGATGGAGCAGGGAAGACGACGGCAAGCTGTGTTTGATTTTTCCTTCCTTCAAGGTGTTGGTCGTGTCGCCTCGAGCGACAGAGACACGGAGACACTTGTAACATTGGCGCTGAGAAGCCTCTACTTTTGAATCTCTTTGACCTCGTCGAAGGTGAAGAACTCACAGGTTTCTAACCTTTCTCAAAATTCTCAAAGTATACAAAGCAACATTTGTCTGAAGGAACTATGCAAGCAAAGGCAGCAAAACTGAGGGTGGTTCAGCCATGGGCCATGGTGTAGCCTTTCTCACACATGCTCAGAAGCATGCTTGAAATAGACAAAGCTTATGACACGTGGTCCTGGCGAAGCAGGTGGAGAAAGTGGACTTGCTCGACGAGTTCACGCACCCCAAAACAGGAGACGCGAGCTCCAAAAAGAGTCGACTCCTTGTGGACTTCGCAGCAACCTGACCGACAGGTCCTTTTGCGATCCGAGGGGCTGGCTCATCGGCTCATAGAATTAGTGAACATGTCGTTAGGTTTCTTTGTCCCCTAAAAAGAGAGCCTCCCCGAGCATCACGCGAAGGACACGTCGGACACCGCCCCGTTCGCGTGCTGAACGGCACGACCGCGAGCAGGACGCAGCTCGAAGATGTTCCGGGTCACCTGGCGAGACATGTCGCGGACCTTGACCAACGAGGAGGTGAACGCCAAGCACGAGAAGGTCTTGGAGCGTGTCGTGGCACGGTCTTCTGAGAAGAAGCCAAGATTTCGGCGAAAAGCCATGCAACAATGGTTCTTTGTTTTCAGTATTGGTTCTTTCTTGGGATCATGGGGTATAGAACTACAATATACTATATATAATACCGTGAGAGTTTGTGTTGAAAGAGTATCCACAAGACCAGTCTTCTTGAGTTGAGATGAATCGACCAAAAAGCGGAGCTGGACAGACTGCGGCGCCTGTAATTTTGTGGCTACAATGGTATCGATATGCCCCATAGAAGAGCAAGCAGCACAAATCAGGTCACTTTCACAGCCAGGTGCTAGCCAGGTGCGAGTCAGTGTTTCCAGGTGATTTGGGGCTATTTTCTTGCTCAGACCAATTTGGGGTGTTTGGATGTCTCCATTTGTTCGGGAACGAACTCGAGTTCTAGGAGAAGGCAAATTGGAAAGAAGTCTCAGCTGCCACTACAATTGTAGCCTTCGTCTTCCAGATTACAAGCGCTCAACAATGATGTCTCGACCAAGGAGTGGTTGACGAGCTGAAAGTTGAGCTTCGTTAAAGCATGAGGCACAAAAAAGAAAAACACAATTTTCTTCTTCAGCATTTCCTGGAGATGCTCATGGTTCGAAAGGGAGAAAAGAGCGTGAAGAGATGGCCTGGCTGTGTGAAGGATTATGTTTTCCGCCCAAGATGCAGATGCACCATCCAAATTTCTTTTTCAACGTGGGTGTTCTGGAAAATGTGCGAGGACACCTATATGCAAGGACACCTATTATGATAACAATCCGAAAAAGAGACAAGGTGTATGGTTGTTCCAAATAGGTAGAAAGGACTTCCAACACAAGTTCTCTTCAGAGTTCGAGAGTATCTATTCCGATGTCGCGGATGTCTTCAACTTCACCTCACATTTACCATCATTTACCTTTCTTCCCAATTTATTAAAACCCTTCCTACCTTTGGGTCGTACTCTGTTGTACCCTTGCTTCCACAAGGGTCTGATCGCTCGGATCATCGGCCTGGAGAAGAAACCGACCGAGACAAACCGGTCTTCAACGAGAATTGCTCGTTTTCTACGTAACCTTCAGAGAGTCCCTAGTAAGTAGCTTCTTGCTCCGTTCGTAGTACGGCCAGGAGCCCTGTTCGTAGCGTCCGATCGCTCCTGGTAGCGATGCCAGGAGCCCCTAGTAGCGAACATGGCTCCTCATGTGCATATGATGTTTTTTACATGGTAAAACAATGCACCTGTGCATCTCCCTGAAGGCAGATTGCTCCACTGCCGTGTTTTTTTCTACATCAAACCGCATGTAAAGCAGTTCATCAGTCAGACGTTCCCTAAACCGCCTGAGACCTCACCTGGAACGTGGTCACCTCGGTGGCCGATGTGCTGCGGCTCCTGGACTTCGGCCTGGAAGCTCCAGTGGAGTTGGCAGTTTTGACCATTGGGATCCTTGAAACGATGTGGTGATGTAGCTCTCTTTGGAACCAAAGAACCAGGATGCTACAGTGACTAGACTCTCTAAGGACTCTAAGATCATCTGAGAGTCAAGTATATAAAAACAGCTCTTCTACTCCTCATCCTTTGTTTTGGCGGGGATTTGGCGGAGCCATTGGTTGCTCAAGGCGGTGAACGAATGTGAATGGTTGATCGCCTCAGATGCTCCAAAGATCGATTCCGAGCGGGCAACATCGGCTCTGTCAGATAGGGTAGGTCGAAAAGGAAGATCGAATGGATTTGAATCGTGATGAAACGAACGGTGCCTGCTCAATATGAGAACTATATAGTGCCTGTTTTAAGGCGACTTGCACACTCCGAGTTGGTCCCTGACCTTGCAAACCCACTTAAGAATCGAGGATTTCTGGTGGGCAATCCACAGAGCTGCGCAGTCCGTAGTGTGACTTCCCCCCGGGAGCCACAGTCGACCTTAGCTTGGCCGGCCACGACATGGATACGAAGATGGAAGATGCTCCTCTCACTCACAGCTCACAGGAGCTGGGGGAAGAAGACGCCCTCCACGTCAGAATGAGTTGGGTGAGCAAGGGGAGGATATGTATCTAGGATATTCCAAGCAGGTAGCAACACGTTATAGTCATATCTATATAGTCATATCTATATAATATACTGTATATTTCTCACATATGACTAGAATATATAATGTCTGATTTTGCATCGGTCCATTCTTTCTTGCATCCGTGATTTTGGACCTCAAGCCACCCCATCTCCGGTCCACCGGACAGCCCAAGAAAAGGCAGGTCTCGTCTTCTCGTGTCACGGCCGTCTCGCGAGGCCACAAGATGCGGGCGGTGGGCTGCACCAACATCAATGCGGCTTCCTCCCGTGACCCGTCGACCCGAGTGGAGCAGGGGAAGGATTGGTGCAGAGGGAAGGATCTGTTGATCGGCATTCCGATAAGAGAGTGAGTGGCAGCCGAGAAAAGGATGGACCAAGAGGAAGGAACAGTTACTCAGTTTCTCCAAGTACTGCGCTCTTTTGTTTGGACATGATGGAACAATGATGGGTAGCAAAGGGTAGCAAAGGCACTTTCGATGGGGATGCGACTTGAAAGCCATGCATTCGGTGGCGAAGTCCGCCTACCTGGTGGTGGGGGCCCTTCCGAGGTTCCCATGGAGTGGCCACCTTTCAAATCGAGCAGCTGGTCGGACAACAGGACGCCAAACGCAGGTGGGGAGCAGAACCGGTCATGGCACAGGTGGCGACAGGTCATGGCACACACCTTCCGCGTTGTTTCCGTACCGTCACAGTCTGGTGACCACCCGACCGGTCAAGCGCAGGTGGGCCCAGTTGCAGACCGTGGATTTGGCTGGTGCCGCGCGCATGGATCAGATCGGCGACTCTCAGGCGGAGCAGATGGGTTTCTTTGGCCCAAGGAGCTGAGGAATTCCCGGAAGATGTTGGTAGGTTCTTTTCTTGGGGGAGATTTGAGTGTGAGGTGGTCCCAAACAAATGAAGTAAGCAAGGTGGCAGAGGTCGCATGTTTGCCCGATTCTTTATTTTGTTCCCTGAAGGATTGCTGCTTGAAGTGCTGTTTGAAGTGGGAGGAGAATGTGATGTCTATCCTGAGCTCCTACGTTCGAGGGAAAGCCATACGGTATACTGTAACTCCTGCTTGAGGAACCATGCAAATCGCAAGGCTTTGCCAGGACCGGGTTGTCACTGCCAAACGTGCTGCTGAATTCACTGCTGTTCGCCAAAACGCCACCTGCTCGCGGATTGGACAGTTGGACACGACGGTCACGAGGGTAGAGCATTTCCGTCCGCAAAGGCTTTTGTTCCCTTTCAAGACCAAGAAAACTTGATCATCCCAGGTCCCAAGAGACTGTAAATTCAATACACTGGTTTCAGAGTAGATGGCACAGGGCCCCCAAGATGTCTTAGACAGATGGAGGTCCATTTTAACCACCGACCTTCAACATTTGTGCGATCTACTCTAAAACCACTGTATCTCTTCCTTTGCACATCTGCTGAACACACCTCAACCATGGATCGGAGCTCCGACAGCCAGCGGGGAAAAGGCGCGTTCTGCAGCCTTTTCACCCGGCTCAACAAAAACGGGGCCGGAGAGCACGAGTTGAAGGTGAAGGCAGGTCTGGGGTGGGGTTTTCGGCGGTTTTCAGACGAGATATAAAGCCCAACAGCGACCACTTGTTCATCTAATACGCTGGGGTGCGAATTTTGAGCGGTCCATGCGACAAAGTTGCCAACAGTGTGGTGCACAAAGGGTGTGAAGAAGTTGAGTGGAACATGTTCATGGGATTTCATATATATATATATATATATCTGTTTCTCGAAGGTGTCCCGACGGGTTCTCGTTTGGGTCGATCGTTGGCTGCCACGTTTGGAAGGTTGATCTCGGCTCGTTGCAGGTCTGGAAAACGCTCGTTTTCGTATAAGTCTCGTAGAACACAACGTGTTTGGGAGGTCCGTTGGGTCCCGGGTCACCGGGAATTCTATCAGGTTTTGAAAAGCAAAGCATGGACATGGGAACAGTTTTGTCCAATCAGAAACGATCTTCTACGAGGATCAGATCGGATTTTCAGATGAGCTCAGAAGCAGAGAAAGGATGAGAATCGTTTTCATATCCTCTCAAAATAGAACTCTGCTTTCTAATTGAGAGACAGCGTCCCTCTATGGCAAACAGGAGTGAATCGCCAAGCTGTGATCAACATGTACGTTTCACACCCCCGTAGCTGGATTGGTCAAGCTGATACTTGTAGGTGGCTGTCGCCCCCACCTTGTTGAACGTCCATCTGTTGGGTCGCTTGCCTTGCGGAAAGTGTCATTTCTCGGGCAGCAACTACCATGATGATGTTCCTGGAAAAGGTTCATTATTGTTGTTGTTTTAACGCTCTGAAAACGGTTTTCCCTTTGGGATGACGTCCGTTTCAGTTGGGCGCTGACGCCAGGATGTCCTCTTCCGCGCCCGTCCTCACACAAGAGGCCTCGAGAGCCGGTCCGAGCGGGATGGAAACCAATCCATGGGACCAATCCTGTGGAACTGAGATGAACTGAGCAGGTAATTATGTGGAACCTTTAGGGGCTTCAGGGCTTTGACGGCTTCGACCCACTTAAGCCATTGACCGTCACCTTGGCTGGCTTGATTTGGGCTGGCACTGTGTGGGCCTGGGCCCTGGCATGTTTTGACCGCCGCAAACAAAGGGAAGATCCGCCTGTCACAGGACTATGCGGTCCCTTGTCACGGTGCTGGTGCGGCTCTTGGCAGAAACAGGACAGTCGGTGCCTGCAAAGTGAGCAGAATGGGATTGTGGAATCACCTACACTCACCGAGGACCTATAGGCTTCAACCTAGTTTCGGAGACCTGAAGGTGTTGTCAGGTGGAGCCCCGGTGACCCGTGTCCACTAGATGCTCACGTCAATCACTTTGTGAGAGTGTTCAAGGATGGGTTCTGCTCCTAAAATTGGGGGTGACTTCTTTGACCAGGAGCCCCCATCCTCCCCGAAAAATACATTCAAATATATACATATATTAATATATATATATATCTATTATTTGTGAATATATATATATTATTCCTATGCTCCCCCCCAAACAATATAGTAAGCTATATTATATACTTCTGCCACTTTGTTTGAGGACCAACTCCTTTGGACACCCGGTGCACCCCGGACGTCCCAAAGCCGCTGACGTCGAACGGCGAATCGAGGCGACACCGGACCTCCGAAGCGCGTGACGCATGGAGCCTTCTCCAAGGACCCGCGCGACGTGGCCGGGAGCGCGTCCCGCCGGGCGGGCGTTTCTGCGGGACGGTTTCTGTGTTTCCGCGTCCGGGAAGGGATGATGTGAAGAATGTGTGGAACTGAGAGAATAACTGCGACCAATGGTGAGAGACCCTGAAGTTGAAGTGTTTCCTTTTCTTTTACAGGGATGTTTTTCTGGGTTCTGTGATCTGACTGAACAACAACAAATGTGTACTGTATACGCTGTATAGCTGCATAGCTTCAGACCCACATTGTGGCGCAACCTCGCAGATGCTGGGCATGATAAAGAAGCTCGGTCCTGGATGCTTCGCCTCCGACCTGGATCCTGGACCGAAGACTGGCTGGATTCCCTTCGCACTCAGGATCAGCGTGAGCACTCGGAGTTTCCGCGTCAGGACACGGGAACCTTCTCCAGCCGCATCAACCAGATCATGAGGGCGGCTGGGAGCCCTGGCAAGTCGCCGAGCGTCGCGACGCTCCAGGAGTTCTGCGGTGGAACGAATGGGCTGGAGACCGGAGGCCGGAGTTGTTTTCTCCAAAACCACTCGTGCTGGCAGCTCTTTTCTTAGGAGACTGGCTCCAAAAGAGAAAGCTAGCGTTGTTTTAGAGGTTCAATATGATTCAATGATGTCTTGCATAGGTTACTGTTCAATTCAGTCATGTAGTAGGCCGCATTTATCGCCTTGATCACCGCTTTATTGATAGAACACAGCAAACCATGAGAGGGAATCCGAACCATGGCGAAGGAGGTGACAGTCACCCAGGTTTCGGTCACATGACCCTACATATTCTTCGTTTGTCCATGCGTGGTTCGAGAAGGTGTTAGCGAAGATCCATCAGGTGTGCGGGTCGACCCGGGGATTCTTTGAGAAATTCACCAACATCATCACGATCATGAACACCAGTTTCCTGCAACCTCCGGAACCAAAAAAAAGGACGACGGAGGACCGTTGACACACCAGCTAGGCGGATCCTGTCCACATTCCCCAAGAAGCCGATCAACACTTCGACTTGGGGCGGATCCTACGCGTGTTTTCCACGCAGGAACCGCCCCCCCCTGCCCCGTGAGCGCTGAAAGCGGATCGTGACCGCAGGCGACCAAGACGCCTGGGCCCGGAAAGTATTTGGCACATGAGGCACCGAACTTCAAGGTGGCGAGTTCAGGTGTCAGAGCAATCCATGTAGAAGGACCAATGAACATGGCAAATTGGTCGGAATTGGTGATTTGCATCTCATCCGGACAGGGTTGGGGCCTACCCTACCCCGCAGTGGTCACCCGTCCCACAAAGGCCAACAAGAACCACCAGATGGGTGTTCTCAATGTCGTCCGCTTCTTTTTGGACACCACCCATTTCTCGAACCACCGGATTCACTGCAATGCGTGCTTTGGGAACACTCATCCTACGCTTCTTGACCATGAACAACAGGGTCAAACAAGTCGAACTTTCGGACCTCAAAGGAGGCCGAGCTTCAACAAAGCCACCGAAGTTCAAGCTCAAGCTTCGTTGAGCTTCGTCCACTTTTCGGGTATCGAACTCTTTCCCCCGAGCTTCGTGTTCCATGTTTATCAACTTCCAGTTAGGTTGAGACCAAAGACCCATGAAATCCCTGAAGCCGGAAGCCTCAGTAGAAGCACTTCTCCAATCTCCGATGATTATGTTTTATATTTCTTTTATATTGTTTTATGGAATCGGAATATCTCTCTCTCTCTCGCTCTTTTTCACCCAGATCTTGACTTTCACGGATCCTTTAAAAGACGTTGCCTTTTTCGTCTTTGATGTTTGGAGATGGCCATCATCAGGGACTGAACTCCAACGACCCCTGGCAGCCGGTGTGAACAGGGATGGTTTTGGGTCGGAGTGGTTCTCTTATGGATGATGAAAGTCAAGTTGTTTTCCGTTCCGTTCACCGGCACCTCATCCGTGTGCCCCGCCTGGCTGGATTCCTTTGACCCATTGGCCGTTTACCCCGCGAGTGAGGTTTTTACCCCAACCCCGGCGGCCGGTCCGTCAGGTGTTCAGATTCGTTGAGGCCCTTCACCTGACACGCAGAAGACTCGTGACTCGTCGCTGACTCGTCCATGAGATGCCGAAGACTCGTTGGCAGTCCCTCCCAGCAGCCAGGATTGGAGACTCAATGGTGGCAGTCGTTTCTTGAAAGGGGTGCGGATGCCAATTTTGGCACCGCCTGCGCAGTGGATGGGTGGAGGGGGACAGGAGGAGGCAGTCGGTGCCGAAGATTGAGATCGACGAAGGATCAACATATGTGAAACCTATCCTCCCAATGGCCGACGGTAGATTGACTATGCCTGGTAATTAGTCCATTCATGTCCACAAGTGTTCTGATTTGGACTTTCAACCGAATTGCGATCGAACTTCGATTTTGGGATGCTGCGGAGTACATCAATGAGCAATTTCACAGGTCCAGTGACTAGCTCCACCGGCACCCCAGCACCTTCAATCAGCGCATTGGTTCCTCCATGGTCCTGGTCTCAGTGGTCCAAGTCCAAGTGCGTCCGCCGGCTGTGAGCCACACGGACATTGGACTTGGAGGCCTCCAAGTTTGCGACCCTGTGCTGGTGGACTCAGCCAGGCTTTCTCGCCCAAACGAGGGAACCAAAGGCCAGAGAGGCCACCATCGTCACTCACTGTTATTCATGAGGATCTCATCGGCACCAGAGTTCCGGTGCCTTTGTTCGGATGACATGTTCATTGACATGTTTCCTACCCCAGGAAATATGCCAAAGACGCTCACAGCTGTTACGATTGAACTATGTCGAAATCACCAAACCACGGTGCTGTTGATATATAATTGTTGAACTGGAATCCAGTTCTAGGACGATTGGGGACAATTCAGGGGTCGCCACCTCCAGGATTCTTCTGGAACATCGCCCTAACATCAGGTCGGACGCCGCGCGCCCGTTCTTTGTGCACCGGGCTTCTCCCCACCCCACGGGGTCGTTCCGTCCTAAGGACCGGTCCTTTAAGCCGATGCACAAGAACCCGGATCCCACACACTACGAGCGCAAGGAGAGCGAGGGCGAGGGACCGCGCTTTCGGATGGGCGCGGACCCGAAGAGGGGCGGCGAACGAGGCTGTTGGGTGATCAGCGGTTCGGTGGTGGTTTTTCTCCAACGCCCCTCGCGCGAGGTGTTCTTCGGGCGAGTTGCGTCCGTCCTGGTTGGGAGAGGGGGGCTGTTTGGTGCAAGAGAGTATTTTTGGTTTGGATTTAGCTGGCATTTCGATATCGAAGATGTTTGTTCTACATGTCTTTTAACCTTGTCTAAGCAAGAACTATGGCTTGTGAATCTTGTGAAGGTTTGGCCAGTTGTATACATGTAGCCAAACATAGCAACACCATGCAACGACAGGTAAAGGATTCCCTTTTTTGGATTTGTTGGGGAGAGTGCTAACCACCATTTTCACGCAGTTCAAACCGAGCGGGGAGGGAGTTCGCCATGCGGCCAGGACTTCTTCCAGTTCCCGTGTAATCGGAGCAAGGAGAAGTTCGCGGGTCGAAGTCGAGCGCCGCGCGCCGAGTGCGACAGCAGAAGAAGTCAAGTCTGGGCAGTTCCCATGATCCACCAGACTTCCTCAGTCTGGGGGTGAAGATCTACGGCTGCAGCCCAGTTTGTGGGCTGCAGTGTATTTGGTTGTGTTAGTTGGTGCTTTATGGTTCTTTTGTCGTCCTGACTGGTGCTTAGTAGCAAGGAATGAGGGAATGGACCCTAAGGAATCTCTATTGGGAGGTCATTCCTGCATTCCCTACAAAGCACCAGTCAGCTTCTGGGATGGAAACAATAAATCAAGCACCACGCAACCAACGATAGAGTGCTAGTTGGCATTTCTCCACCTCAGTAAGATGATCTATAGATAGGTTTCCGGATCTTTCTAGCAAGAGATCAAGTGCATTTCTGGAAGAACTCACCCCGAAAGTAGTTTTTCAATGTGCCTTTTTTGTATTTGGATCCACGACATGCATCAACATATGTATCATATCATATGCATATATGTGTCACGAATTATATAACTATATCTGACAATTCTTCTTTCCCAAACCACCAAACGTATTAGGACGCCTGTGTGTTTCATGGCCTACATCTTTCCTACCTCAGGACAGATCCACTAGACAGATCGGGGATGGACTCCGGACGGACTCCAAGGGGCCTGATGGCCTTTATGCGGGACGGCCCCAGGAGTGTTTGTCTCAGAACCGCCGGCAGTTGTATGGGAACATGACCAAAGGCGCGCGGTTGGTTCCACCGTTGCGAGCGGTGGTGTCACTCGGTGTGCTGGCCACTCGGTGGCGAGGATTCCGTTCTTTTTGCGGCAGTTGATTGGGAGCGACATGGGTCAAGATGGGTCAAGTGCCGCAAACACCGAAGATGGAATGTCAATGGGATTGGTTGACCCTCCCGAATGGTTGACACAAAAGTTCAGTAAGATGGGTAAAGACCGGAAAGACTTGGCAACTTGCCTGGTTTTCGGTCTTTGGTCGCTCCCAGCTCGCTCCACTCTGGAGCGTCCCATCGCCGCTCCACGCGACGCGACGCGCTGCGTCCGAGACCATCGACGGTCCTTTTCGGTGGGTGTAGAGGACCCGGCCAGGCCGAAGGCCCAGCCCGAACAAGACATCGATGAACGGCCACGGCGACAACGAGCCAAAGCCACATGAACAAGATCTCTGGAACTCTGGTGCGGTGTTTTTGGCCAGTCAGTGGCACTTAGAGCAGGTGAAAAAATCCCCTCCCCTTTGATTTTTCGGTTTGGCTTCGGGGTTTGTTCACCATGTTTTTCGGCGATGTCATCGCTGACAGGCAATCGCCGCTCCTTCTTAGATGGTGCCGTGAGGCATGGGAAGTCTGTGCAGCACTTAGAAGATCGACGGTGAAGGGAGTGGAATTGGTCATGGGACCTGACCGTTCGAAACGGACACCATGCCAAGTGGATCTTTGCAATGATCACCCACCTGAACAGTGGAAGGTACCTGGGCGAAATCACGGTTGTACAGGGAACACTTTGAGAGGAAGACCTTGGTGGGGATTGGGACTGGGTAGGTGTTGAATAGAACACCTCGACAGAAGTCCTGGGGAAGTTAGGATGGCGAGTTGACTGTCTGAAGGGCGGTTGACTGTCTGATGGCGTCAGAAGGGCTTGAGGGTTTTGTGGTCCGTTGGTGTTGTGATCATCGCCAGAGAAGTTCTTTCAAAAACTGGCCTAGCAGCTCACAAGTGAGCTGCTCCAGGTATGACCGACCCCTCACGATGGGGATGAGAGGAGAAATCCTCCTTAACTGAACACCAATGAAAACAGGCTCACAAGCGAAGGACCCCCCCAAGAGAAGGATCTTCAGTATTCTCCATCAACCAACTGGCAGTCCTTCTGTTTGCCTACCGGGTGTACTTTAGGTGCTCTGGTGCCTACTAGGGTGCTCTGCGTCCAGGGACTGACACAGCACCGGGGCCATTTCGCTTGGAGGACCGGAAGTTGACCTTGAATCCACGTGCGCGTGTTCCAAGAGCCATGGCCGAAGAGACGTTGCTCACCGTGACAGTCACTTTGCTCAGTGGGCTCACGGCATCTTTGTCCTTGCCAAAGAGTTCCTGCATCAGTGATTCCCGGATTGACTTTAAGCTACTACTGTATCAGGCATTTCCGGTTGGAACATCGCCTCTTTCGAGGGGCGAGCATCTAATTTATACCACCCGTACTGTGCATTTGAGGGTCAATCGAGGAAGTGTTTGGAACTTTTGATTGGACTTTGCCATAAGAGAGATCCACTACATTGGGCCATGCGGCTATGATAATGGGCTTTCCATGGTGTTTTCCAGGTGCCTCAGAACAAGCCAAGGACCTGAAAGGTGCAGCCGAGCAGGCTTTCCGGAAGGGCTTTCTGAGACTGGTCACAGTTGATGGCTTCCTGGTGAATCCAAAGCTTTCCATTGACAATCCTTTTCATCAGGGTAGATTTTTCTGTGTCGCCGAACGACCACGCTTGGCGGCCACAGACGGTGCCATGGTTGCTGTGCTTGGTCCTAGCCGTGTGATCACTTGGGGAGATCCAAGACATGGGGGTGATGCCAGCAAAGTGCAAGATCAGCTTCAGCATGTGCAGGACTCCGGGTTTGAACACCCGGTCGAAGGGAAACAAAGAACATGTTCCAACAGGACGTTTTTGCAGTTGTTCTTTTTCTATCAAGGCACTTGGCTCTCCTCACCCTTCAGGAGATTCAATCCTCCAGTACTCCTTTCGGTGGTGCCTTTGCCGCGATCTTAGCCGACCGATCGGTCGTCACCTGGGGTGACCCCGACTTCGGGGGCGACAGCAGCGGCGTGCAAGACCGACTGCGCGGTGTCCGCGACGTCCAGGCCTCCAACCGGTGCTTCTGCGACGCCCTCGCCTCGATCCATCGACGTCCTCGGTCGACCGTGACGTCCAGTCTGAGTCTGGGCTGTGCCTTTGCAGCGGTCTTATACGATGGATCAGTAGTGACCTGGGGAAGTCCCAGGTATGGTGGGGACAGCCGGCGAGTGCAAGAGCAGTTGACGAAGGTGGAGAAGATTCAAAGTGCCGGTGGAGCTTTCGGAGCGGCCTTTGCGGCGCTCCGGTCAGATGGACAGCCGATGGAAGTGAGAAACTTTGAAACCTTTGTTTTGGGAGACAGATGCCTTTCTTTTTGAAGAGATTAGATTGTATAGTCGACAGACTAATAGGGTAAACCATGATCGACCGCTTTGCTGGTTGATGTAATTATATACCTGAGATGATTAGTGCACCCAAACAGATCTGACCAGTACAGTTTAGTTTAGACATGTTTAGACTTTCTGGTGCAAATCAGCAAGTGAGGACGTGTTGTGACCTGGGGGGCATCCCGACTACGGGGGGGATAGCAGCGCAGTCCAAGACCAGCTGGTGAATGTCCGGCAGATTCAAGCATCTTCGGGTGCCTTCGGCGGTTCCTTTGCGGCCATCCGGTCAGTTGGCCAGTCATCTGCAGGTGATGTGATGCTCGATCTTTCCAAGCCAACAATTTTCCAGCTTTGGATTACAGTACTCATCCCAAAATCCAAGTCCCCCTGGTAAAGGTCAAACATCGGACGAAACAAGAAAGACACCATAGTCTGGGGCTTTGTCCATTCTAAAATCATCTTTGACTTCGGAGGTCCTGGATTTTTGTTGGTTGAGGCCTGCAACAGTGACCCTCCCAAACACCAACATCAAAACTTGCAGAACACGGCCTTCACAGAAAGTCCTCATCCATGTTTAATTTGTAGAGGCTCCCTTGCAATAGATCGGCATCGGAATAGACCACGGACATCCACGGACTATAATGGTAATTACTTATACAGTATATATATATATATAGACTTCTTCCTAATTGTCAACAAACAGTATGGCGTGTTGCCATATATATATATATATACACATCAAACTCTTCATTTTCAAGAGCATGGCAGCATAGAAATACCCCGCAGCTCCGCCGTCTCTTTTCACCCTTTTGGACTCTCTCTCTCTCTCGGAGGATTGCCTGGGGGAATCCCAACTATGGTGGGACGCCCAGCCGTGGTGTACAAGAGCGACTGAAGGAGGTCATCGACCTCCAGGCGCATCCGAGACGAACAGAGGTGAGACGTCCTCCACTTTAGCCGTTTCAGGTGACCCGAAAGGGGACTGAAACATACAGGTCAACATCGTTGAACCTCGTTCGTCCAATACCTCAAGGAAAGCGACTGAACTCCAATGCTGGTGACAACATAGACATTTACCCCTATGAGAGGGAAGCATATCCATCCATCTCCTTCTGACGGTGCCCATGCTTGTTGTGGGGAGATTGCGGATGCAAGATACTGACTGCTGGATGGCAAATATTGCATGATGCAAATACTCACGACTCATGTGTGATACAAGTAGTTCATGCAGATATCGCCTCAAAAGAAACTCATGTTCGACGTCCTTTCGTGACCGGTGTTTTTCAAGCACCTTCGCCCCCCCCCGACGTCAAAACGACACCCCAAACGCCCTTCAACCAGTGGTCGCCGCTGGCCGTTCGAAAGGCCTCGGGGGGCGCCTTCGGCGGTGCCTACGCGGCGCGGCGCGGCGACGGGTCGGTGGTCACCTGGGGCCATCCGCAGCTGGGCGGCAGCAGCGAGCACGTCCAGGCGGGGGCGGAATGGAGAAGGGCGACCGGAGAAGGGGGGTGTTTTTCGGAGTGCCTTTTTTCGGAGTGCTTTTTGAAGCGGAGGTGATGCCAATGGAGAACGAAGGATTCTGGGTGGAGTCAAGGAGATTTTGGGGGTGTGCTTTTTGTGCACGATGACCAAAAGGATTCGGTACATATGTAAACAGGTGTCAAGGAGTTTCAACCAGTCAACATTCCTGTTTTGGCATGTAGATGTTGTGAGACCCAGACCCAGTGGAATATTTACATTATCTAACATGCCGTTAAGGACCGAGGAATACCAGCAGTTTTGACAACTGATGAAACGATGGAGGTACTTACTCCATAGATTGTGAAGGTGGTGCTGACTCCGACCCGCTTCACGAGTTTTATGGAGACTCTTCCTCACTTCAGCTAGTTCCACTCTTTTACTCAAGCTTTGGGACATCCATCTGAATCTCACAATCAGATACAATCAGCTAATCTTCATAAATCAGGTATGGACATGGGGAAACTCAAAAGACCTACCGAAAAGAGACTAAAACCCACTGCAATACACAATAAATGCCAAAAGAATATGTTTGTTGACCAACCTTCACACGGGCATGAGAACCTTCTGATTCACCGGTGTCTTCCGGTCGCACACCGCGTTCGACCGTGTGCGACCGGTCTGGCCAGGCACACTTGCAGGACGTCCGAGCGATTCAAAGCACCAGCGGAGCCTTCGCGGCCATTTTGGCGGATGGGCAAGTGGTGGCTTGGGGCGAACCCAGGCTGGGCAAGCTGGGCACGGAGAGGATGGGACTCAGCTACTACGTAGTAACAAGTGCATCGCTACTAGTGACAAGGGCATTACTACTAGTAGCTAGAAGCTACGAGTAATACCTCTCCATAAGCTGCATCAGTAGTCCAAAAGCATTGAAGATGACTGCCCACACCTGGTCCGCTCATCCCCGTTGACTGCACGTCCGTGGAGTGGTGGCCCGCCGCGGACCGCCGGTCCGTGCCGGGCCCCAGAGTGAAGACTGTTGATGCACGAAGCTGGGAAGTTGCACCCCTTCAGGTTCCTTGAGCTTCACAGGACTCAGTCATCCGGGCCTGCCAGGTGAATTTGCAGACTGCAGAGGGCTGACTGAAGGGGGGGTGGGCAAAATTCACTGGCTTTGGGTTTCATTCCAAACCCCAAAACAGGGGGGTGTACCTAGTACGTATAGCAGCATTTTCAGGCGCCCCAGACTCATAGAATGTCAATCAAGCCTTGTAAAGACAAGTTCAGACCAGCTGTGCAGCTCGTCGGCACTTGAAATAAACCTCCGTTGAGGTGCGGTGGCCACTGCCCTGCCTCGCTACAAGAGGTCCAGCACATCGCCGCCACGCGCGCCGCCTTCGCGGCGGTCACGGCGAAGGGCACCGTCGTGAGCTGGGGCCACGGCTGCTGGGGGGGGCGACTGCAGCGCAGTGCAAGAGCAGCTTCAGCAGGTGACCAGCATCCAGGTGGCGGGGTGGCTGTGGATGTGATGGGTGGACGCGTGTGGGCGCGATGGATGCGGCTGATAGGAGCAGATAGGAACCACCATTTAAAGGAGATGGAGATTAACATCTGATGATAACACGTTTAGAGAGGAACTGGGTGGCAGGGAGGCTATGAGCCAGTTGGATCCAAACAGGACACCCAAAGAATAATTGAAGTAGGACATGAATAGCAGAATCTAGCAGAAACCGAAAAAGACGTGTGAGTTTAAGATCCGCAAGGCGTCCAAGGCCGCCTTTGCCGCTCTGACCTCCGCGGGCGATTTGGTGTGTTGGGGCGATCCCCACAGTGGCGGTCGTGGCCCGAAGCTGTTGGGGGAGGTGCAGGACATCCAGGCGGAAGAAACGCTGAAAACGACTGGAAGACATTCAAAGCCTTGGATCCCTCATGTGAGCCACGCTCAAAACACCTCTTTGGCAAGGAGCTTGTCATAATAGTGTTGCGTCCACCAAAGCCTGGCTCGTGCAAGCTTGCGTCAGCTTCTTACACGAGCTAAGCCAGGAAATGCACAACGCGAAGGCTGCAGCTGCAGCGAAGCCAAAGCGATAACATGGGCCGATGCGAGACCTTTTAATTTGAGCACAGCTCACGTGGCAGAGGAAATACAGTAATTGAAACAGAGACCCCTTCAAGAAAAATCGAGGATCCAACTGATCAAACCCCCGAGTTGTGGAACATGTGCAACCGCCAGGCAGGGCGGAGGGCCTTTGCTGCGGTCTGCCACCGGAGCGATGGTGCTCATGTGGTGGCATGGGGCGACCCGCTATGTGGGGGTGAGGTTGAGGAAGTGCAAGAGAAGCTGAAGAATTCGTATTAGGCTCAACACTGGAAACCCAAGCATAACCCGTTTAAAGTCTTCCAGTCATGTCCAGTCTTGTATAAATTTGTATATTAGTGTATTAGCTATATAATATATACACATAAATACACACATCCTTTACTAAACAATTTTCTTTGAATGTGAGTGGCATGTATGGTAGAGGCTCTGATTCCTTCATTTTCTTTGGGGTCCAGGCTGAAGGCAGGTCAGAAAACAGAACATTCTGACCACAATTTGTGACGGAGTTGCATGAGGAATTCGGACATATTCGCGTTCCAAACGCGTTTTGGCATCTGATTAGATCTGTTTTTTTGCCCTCGGGCTCGCTGGGACGCTCTTTTTTGAAGCAAAAGCACCCTGGCAGCAGCTGAAGATGTTTTTTGGAAGGCCAAGAAAGGCGCTGTTTGTGGATAGTTGACAGGTTGAACTTGGGTTTCAGGAAGCTTGCTTTCTTGTTGTCATTGATGGGCAAAACTGGATCATATCGCATCCCGGAATGCACACAACCTCCGCAGCATCCACGAGAAGCATGACGCAAGCGTCTGGCTGACTTGGGGGCAAAAGAATCGACCAAAACATGATGCCACGACCACATCGTGGGATCCGGCACATATGTGGTTAAGCCGGTTAAGCGGTCGCGACATGTGCGAGCGCAACATTTGTGCATCTGCGAGCGAGAGGAAGCCGCACGTACATGATGCAGTACCTTATCGGCGGAGAAAAGATGAGTACCCCATGTTCGTCTTGGGGGCATGACTGAGAGTGTGCTCTTCTGGCGGGGTGCTTCTAGGATTGCTTTGGCATTGTTGCATCAGTGCGAAACAGTGCTTACATGCTGAAAAAGACATGGAAGAAGACGACACTCACGGTGTTTTTGGATGTTTTGTTGACATTGAGAGTCATTCAAGTCATCTTGAGTGATTTTGTATCCCCCCCAAGCAGGGTGTCTATAACATACATTCTTGAGTCACTCAAGACCTCTTTGTGGAGACGTTCCAGACAGAGAACCATCGGTGACCAAGGGTCTCTCGGTCTTGAACTCGCTCAGACTCAGTGGCGGTTGAGGTTTGACCGGCGAGCATGGGTCGTCTTTGTTTCGGGAAAGATGGAGAACAGTGTTCCCGTCAGATTTGAGCCCCTCAAATCCTCTCAAATATCTCTGAAAGACTCTGAGGTGCCAGGGCCTGCGCACTACTCGGTGAAGCAGAAGGCCAACAACCGTCCCTTGGTAGCAGAGGCCAACCGACTCTTTGCCCTAAACGAAGCATTCGCCGGTGTTCTTGTGGTGCTTTTTTTTTGTTGCGAACTCCTTAGTCGAGTAGCACGAGGTTTTGTGTTCCCAGCTTTGTCCTGAGGGGCCTTTTGTGCTTGTGAACCAACCAAGCTTTGGGAGCGCCTTTTTTTGGGGTATGAGGATGATGAGGCAAGGGAACATGGAGCCCTGAATGAAGATCGCCTCTTCAGCAGGCATCATTCTTGAGGATCTATCCCAGACTCAGTCTCAGTCTATGTTAAGATCCTGTCAGTTGGATTCCGACTGTATGTGTCAGTCTATGGAATCCAACTGTGGCGTCACCCCAAAAGAGCCCATCCAACTGCGGCATGAATCAACCCCAGACCTGGTGGCGGGCCCGCCTTGTTGAGAAGATGGGCCCTCACCACATTTCCTTAAGCAATCAGTATCGTTCGGTTTCGCTTCGTGGCGGACCCTGTGGCGGACCCTGTTGCGCCTGGCTCAAGACGGACGGATCGTCCCACAAAGTGAGACCGAGTGCGACAGGTCAGCCGGAGCGACCACGGCATTCAGCCAAGATCAGCCACGCACAGCCAAACGGACCATGCAGGAAGTGAATAGAGGTGGACTATCAGGTCATTTTTCCGGCCATCTCTATTAGGTTGGAGGCCATTACTACACTATATAGGAGCAAGAAGCTAATAGAATTGGTTTGGATCCCACCTCCCATGACTCGGCCGCCCACCTCGGCCATGACGAGAACCCACTTCTCGCGACGCCATCCTTCGGATTCAGATCGCGACCATGGAGGTGACAAGCCACTTTTTCCATCTCTTGGGTAAATTTCATCTCCCAATCTTGAAAGATGTTCATTTTGTGCTTCTCGGAGCATGCTCGTATGGTTCCTTTGCTAGCAGATGCAGCAAATAGCTTCCTCAGCCACGCACAAACCAGACGCTTCTTCGGGGCCCGGCCGCCGTGCCGCTTCTTCTTTCTGCCGGTAGAGATGCGGAGCTTCGCCTTTGTGGCGCTGCGCCATGGAACTACCTTTTGACCGACTTTTAAAGGTCTGCGCCAATGATTTGATTGACGAGACACTTTGGAGTGAACTGGACCAGTTTCAGCACAATGGTGAGAAGGTGCAGGTGCAACTCGGCCTCAAGACGTGCGTCTGTCCACACGCGTTTTTGGCTCGGCGTTTTGCGGGCTTTTCATGGTATCGTCGCACGACCAACGAGGTCCATGAGTGACTCCGTTCGTTTCTTTTGGAATGACAGGCCCAGGAGTTTAAGAAAAGATCAGCGGACAGGTGCTGCTTTGAGATAGAGAACTGTTTCTCCTTTCAGACTGAGATCACGAACCACTGATGGGTCCCGGGAGTTTCCTAGAAAAGATCTAGGATTGATGTGTATTTTCCTCCAAGTTTTCAGTGAGACCTAAAATTTAGAGGACAATTAAAAAGAGACGCCTTCTTCGGGGAAGCTTCAGGCCTTGTTTTTTCTCGACCTGGATCCGATTTGCCAGGTCCTGTGCCCTCTTTCTTTTTGTTTGAGGTCCTTCAAGCAGGTCCTGGACCTCTACATGCTACGCTTCAAGAGCCAATCGGAGGCGCTCACCGAAGGCCGGACCTCGAGCTGGGTCGACGTCGAGCTGGAGCGGTGGGAGTGGCGACATCGGCACGGTCGGTGCCGATCAAGCGGCATCCTTTTCCGGGTGCTCCCTTGGTCGGCCCAACGCGGCTGGTGGCTTAATCGCTGTGATTCGCTGTGATGGGTGGTTCTTTTTCTTTTCCGTGTCCCAAGAATTGACCACCTGAGCCGAGAACAAAGCGCAGCACATCGGTCGACGAGAGTGATTGGTCGACGAGGAACCGGCGGAGAAAATCGGATCGATCCGACCTTTACAGGGGATGATTGATGATCAATCCTAATGCTCGTAATGACATATGACCAACCACGCTGCTGGGATCCACAATAGCATCAATAGCCTTGGAGAAGGTGTGTTGGACAGTTTGACCCAAAAAGTTGCAGCAACCACTGTCCCTGTCCCTGTCCCTGTCCCTCTCCCTCCCTCCCTCTCTCTCTCTCTCTCTCTCCTTCTCCCTCTCTCTCTCTCTCTACGAGCCTGCGGACGCCGGCAGGGGATGTTTCTGTTTCAGGTTCGGAGAAAGCGCCAAGAAAAATGCCAGACTTGGCCAGAAGATCAATCTATGAATCGCAGCTGTGTTTTTTTTTTGTGGCCAATGAGTGCCAGACATGAACTTCATTGCACATACTGATAAATTTCAAGAACTAATTTCGGATCAGATTGAGATGTTCTTTCCATCGAGGGCACATCTGGGAGGCTTGAACCTCTCCTCAGTGCCACGGCCGGAAGTCTTCTGTAACGATGCAGTGCTGCGGAAGCACGGGCTCTGTGACCCGGGCTGTGTGGCTGGGCGGAAGAGTGGAATGTTTCTGTCGGTTTGTTGAACGTGGAATAGTGGGGAAGAAATTGCTGTAGGTTTTTCGTCCCCATGATATTGTTGGTGATTTGTCTCGATGCGCTCACTACAGATACTCTGAGCAACACCCCAAAAACAGCAGACTTTAGCAAGCGAGACTTTAGCAAGTGACCACACTTGTGTCCCAGGTCTAAACGTCCACAGATTGCCCAGCTGCAATTTTCATCAAGGTAAGAAGCAGACCCCTTCGACCTTTACATTTTGTAGGATCAGCACTTCCCCCAGTTGGACTGGTGCTAGATAAAGATGTCTAATTTCTTCGTTGGGGAAGAGGTTTCTTCTCCGGTGATTTCAGTGGAAAGAAGCCCAGAAGGTCGGCCCTCAGAAGGAAGGTCGCCTTCTTTGGCAACGCACCCAGTTCTTGGGTTTTCGCACCCAAACGCGCCAGGTGAAGAGAAAACGCGTCGATCCTAGTTCTCACCACAAAAAAGCAGGTCACCAGCATTCATGGACATGTCCACGTTTTTTCTTCCTCGCAACGGGACCCGGGACCCGGGACCCGGAATGTTTGAGTCAAACGTCCACTTCTCGGCGCACTTCGAGGTGTACCATTTGGAGCACTTGTTGGCACCTGGAGATGTCATCGTGCAACGCACCAATCGAAGAGAGTTCCACCAGAGACTTACTCGCAGCCTTAGGGCCGTGAAAGTCGAAGTGGTCTGGTGAGGCAGAACTGGAGGCAAGTGGTTTGGATGAGCTCCTTGACCACTGTTTTGTAGGGAAACATCATGACACATCCTGAAACGTCTAGGGCAGGACTTGGTTGAGGCTTGATATCCTGTTCGGGTCGGGAAAGGGGACAATGCGGTTTCTTCGGTCGCTTGGTTTTTGGCACAAGTAAGATCAAGTATTATACAGTATAAGTAGAAAGGTGTTGAACCTATAGACAATTCCATGCAACTCTCATTCACATGATTATAGGCCACCCTAATGCAAGGAGAAAAGCCGGTATATTTTTGCCAGTTTATTGCAGTCAAGTCAGTACAGTCGATTCTTTTTGGGGCAACTCAACCCTACTGCTTCCGTCCACAATCACGCGAAGCCCTCCACTCACCTCACGAAAGATCCAGAGCATTCGGTCTCTTGTCCTCGGTCGGAGGGCTCGGGGCCGACGAGCGAGTCGCTGCGCTGCGAAGCTGGGCTTCTCCGAGGTATCGACACAAGGTGGTGTCGCAAGCTGCGCTGCTCACAGGCGAGCGAGGGGCGCAGATGAGTGGAGGGGCGCAGGTGAGTTGGGGTGTAGCAGTGTAGCAGCTTTTCTTGGGGGAGAAAGGAGAAAAAGAAAGAAAGACACTCTCATTCTTCAGAAATAGGGAGAATTGCGGCTGCCCTACCTGTACCCAATTGATAGAAATTCTCTTTTCACCGCGCGCTTTCTTTGCTGAGAGTTCAGAGTTCAGAGCCGCCTTCTCGGGCCCATGTCATATCTGATATCCCCAGCTTACGGATTGAGTACATAAGGTATGCCTATGCTCAGGTGTACATAAGGTAGGAGGGATCCAGCTCAAGTCTTGGTATTTCTCCCTCAGACACTCCAGCATATATGCTCACAGTGGAGTGGTTGACCTGTGGTCAATGTAGACATTCCATGCATGGAGCATTTTCTGAGCGACGCGACGAAAGTAGGGATTTTTGGGAAGTTTGGCCCCCCAATAGAGATTCCTTTGCATCCAGCCACCCTCATCCCTTACGTTCGTCGCATGAGTCACTTTCGTCGCCACCGTCCTTCAGGCGACTCGCCCGTGGACAGCCAGTCCGTGGAGGTGAGGGACCAGTTTTGCACGCGCGCGCGCGGACCCGTGCAGCGAGCAGATGAGAGGGTTTTGGAAACAGATGAGCCAGCTCAAGAGGCAGAGATTTGCTCCCCCAAGGGAATCCAAATCCGAAAACGCTTTCCCTGTCCGAAGATCCCTATCTGATTTCCTGCCCACAACGGACCGCAAAGCGCTTGGCACCACGAGGTCCCGTCACCAGAGGTCGCGCTCGGGGCTCTCCGTATCGGCGCCCTCGCCGCCAGGTGATGACCCGCCATCGGACGCTCACCTGGCGAGACTACCCGCAGCCGAAGATGGCCACCATGGCGGGCATCCCGTGGAACCCGGTGAGTGGTACCTTTGTGACCCAGGCGGCCGAGAGGTAGAACAGTAGACGGTGCCATCGGCTTGTGGTCTCCCCATCCGCTGGTGAAACCAAGGGCGTGGTGCTCTGGTGCGTTTGTCTCTTTTTGGAGACCAGGGGAGGACCTCTAAAATTTCTGGGGCATGGGTGATGGTTGGGGGTGATGACCAGTGGATTGGGATGTTCCAACTCTGAGACCAGTTGGGGACATCCTGTCCAATGGAGATCCCCTCAACTACCATCCTCCCAGAATTGGTTTAGGAAACCCATCGGAATCTGCGGGTCTTTTCACCAATGGGTTTCAAGCAGATGTTCCCTTCAACCAATCCATTGATGCATTGACATCATGGAGACAGAAATCCCGAAATCCATTGTGCAAATCCCAACTACCATCATGGGATCCATCTTGAAAATCACTCTTGGTATCTATGGCCATCCCTTCCAACCCAAAAGGTTGGGTAAAAAGGCCCCCCAGTCGGGAACTACTTTATGGGTTTCTAAGCTCTAAGCTCCAAGGATCCCCCCAATGGTCTTATTCTAAACTCCGAGCTTTTCCTTCACCAAACACCCTGTCGCCACGCCATGTCGCCATGTCGGATCAATTGCTATGCAAGGGTTTCTATCGCGAAAAAAGAAAGGATCCACCACGCCCAAGGCACGTTCCGCGCTTCTCTCGATGTTGGTTGGTCACGTTCCGCGCTCCTTCGTTCTCCGCCGCTTCGCCTTCGCTCGCGGAGGTGGGCAGCGAGATCGCCTGGGTGGTCGTCATGGCCCCGGACGAGGCGGAGGTGACGAACGTGGCTTGGTATGTACGAAGGGAGGGCCACAACAACAATGGGGTCCGGTGGGCAGATGCTTTTTGTTAGTTGTTTTCAAAGAGATTGATGTATAAGATCTGTAGTTCCCTGCATTTTGAGGAGAAATGGCACCAAAATCTCTGGGCTTAGTGTGAATCCTTTTCATTTTGGGGCCTTCAAAGAGGTTTCTCCGGAGGTTGGAGGGATTAGATGGCTGGGGGCAGGAAGAAACAGGACAGGACCAGCTGGAAGACCAGTTGTATCAAGATTGGATAAAAGCGTGCAGGGGACATGCAGTTTTGGTCTTCAATGTTTGGTGAGGGGATGTTGATATATGCATTTTGCATTTTGAGGTCCCTCCCTGCGCTCCCCCACTTTCTTGTGAGGGATAGCTGAACAGACCTGGTGGTAAGGGAGTTTTTTCGAAGTTGACCACTTCTGACGGGTCAGCCGTGACCTTTTGGAATAGACGGCGAGTTCTTTGAGATGGGAGTAGGATTTGAGAGTGCTCTAGAGTGCTCTTCGTTACTGTATTTATTTATTCTTCACCCCGTCGTATCGTCAGGAGAGTTCAGTTCGGTGATCAGGGGCCTCACTCCAGCCTTCCGACCTGACCCGACCTCACCGAGGTCATCGTCGGGCTGTTCATCAGCAGTTCGACCTTCCCCTCCTGGGCCAGCAACTTGATGACCCAGATGGTCTCTTGGAGCAGCGGCACCGGTTCTTTCACCGGCCGCGGGGCGGGGGGGGGGGGGGAGTTGGACTGCTGGACCGGAGGCCATGTCCGGAGAGAGGTCGGAGGCGGACCTTCGGGGGAGGAGCTTGAGGAGGAAGAAGTGAACGAGAGTGAAGGTAGAACAGAGCTGAAGACAGTACGGGTGTTTGATTTACCCCGCTGAAGACCAGCATGGACCCTGAGAACCACTGGTTTGTAGAGAAAAACCGTCTTTCAGGTCCATGTTAGTTTTTCAAGAGTCTATTTTGTTGGAGTGGTTGGATGGACCTAGATAGATCGAGATGAGAGTTTCTGAATGGTTCATCCACGAAGGCAACAATCCTCGATGCCAAATCCCTGTCAACTTGCGAACCTGTCAGGCAAGGCGTAAACAGTTTCTGAGGCTTGACTTCTTTGGGAAGATACATACACACACTATATATCACTACATGGATATAAATAATATATTATATATTGTATAATACACAGAGGGTTTGAAAGGGAAAGAACTCCGCAGGGTTCTCCCCAAAGCATTTTCTGAGTGGGCCACTTGGGCCAATTTCCATCAATTTCCAATCCCTACCAGCATACCTTAATTAACGCACAAAACCAGCTGGTAGCGTTTCGGGGAGGAAACTGGGATTTGGCCATGGATCGTCAATCCATCCACATCCACGTAATGCAGGAGTCTTGACACTCACTCGCTCCCTCGTACTCACTTCATCCTTGGCAAAAGCTCGGGCTGTCCAGTTGTAATTTCCCTCAGGACACCACCTGCCCGATCCATCCTGCCCAATCAAAACCACTCGCTCAACCAATCCCTTTGAGTCGACTGATGGGGTCTCCACTCCCCATCGCTTCGCCACAGTTCCACTCGTCCGTGGATCGGTCCGAAGCTCCGATCTCAGGTCTATGCGATGCATGAACTGTTCCAGGCGCGGATGATGGAGACGAAGTGCATCAGCTGCTCCGAAGCTCTTCTCAGGGACAGCCGGAGGGAGGGGCGTTCAGTGAGTTCCAGGAAAGGGGTCTTCTGGGAGATTATGTTTCCGTTCCATCTTGGTGTGCAGTTCAGTACAATACAGCACATGAAAGTGTTTAAATTGGTCACTTTTTGAGAGACCACCCGCACCCGAACTCCTTGGGTTTGATGGCTTCAGAACATTCCAGCCAAGACATCCAGGTTCAAGGGCTCCCCTTTTCTCTTCTTTTCGATTCTCAGGTCCCTCAAGTGGATAAGGCAATGATGTGATTTGATCATCATGCTTTCGGCCAATTGGTGGCACACCCCCAGTTGGCATGCTTCGAAATGTTTTAGAATCTCCCACCTACTTGGGGCGCCCGTTCTTCTTCAGAGGAGTAGCTTTGTGACGGATCCTATCCTACCAGCGAAAAGTCAATCATTTCTTACTCGCAATCAGGGTGAATTCAACGCTGTTTCGCCAAAGATGGGCCCTACTGCACCGACACTGCCAAATGCACTATGATACCCCCAAAACAGGTCGCCATCAGACACCCTCCGCTCGCCTTTTAGGTCTCTTCATTTGCCCAGAAACACTTGTCTGCGCTCAGTCAGCTGGCAGGAGGATCAAAACCTCTACGTGGTCTTGTCGCTCCGAACCTGTCCTCAGGGCCGTCCCCTGGTGCCCTGTGCAACTTCCACCCCGGACAGCTCGGTGATAACCGTGAAAGGCACGGGAAGAAACGCGATGAACGAGTCGCAGAACAGAAGTCTGACCAAAGGGAAACGGGGAAGCACAGGACGGTGGGGGATGGGGAAGCCCGGCCACGCTGGTTCTCTTGAGGGGCTGAGCGAAAACAAAAATCAAATAGGGAGGATGATGATGGAGCAAATGTGCTATGGGTCGTGACCATGGTGACCCTGGTGGAGATAGGCATGATGGAGACGAAACCACGCAAAAGGACGGAACACCATTCAAGCTATGAGCCACCCCCTAAATGGTATCAGGTGTGGACTGCCTCCTTCGTGAAAGAATGGGTGTCCAACCAAACCTTCACTTGCTTGGGATTGGTGGAGCTGCATGCCCTGCTAGGCATCACTTCCACTAGGTTGCTTGCAGGGTGTCAAATGAGAGCCATCCCTGCACCTTTGTTTGTGTGCTCAGGTTTCTGATCAGCACTCTAAGTGAAAGACACAGCTCAAGTGTTGAATTTTTGAATTCACAGGCAATGCTTTACCACTTGCCCTTCAGCCCAGCATTCTCGCTCTCGGTCTCGCTCTCCCTCTCCCACTCTCTACTCTACACAAGATGATCGGTGCACACGTTGGCCCGTGGACTTTCTCTTCCAAGGTGACTTGATCGCTTCACATGGGGTGTAGCGTGGTTCACTGTCCCATAAGCTTCATGAAAACGGGGAAGGAGGAAACGCCTTTGTGTCCCATCACATTCCATCACCTTCCCATCACCTGGCCTCCCCTCTTCCTTCAGAGACTTCCGAGTTGTTTGAACCTGACAAGTGTTCTCAAACGTCCCCACCCTTCCTGCACCTCGCGACAACTCGCGTGGACGTCTTCGCACCAGGTGTGGGTCGAGCAGCAGAGCTGACGACGTGGATGCGGCCAAGCGGCACCTTCAGCTTTCCCAGCTATTTAATCGATCTGCTGCTGGCCATCGGCTGCGACGATGTGCGCGTCTTCGACTGTTTGGATGGTCGGCAACTGGTGCCCTACCAGGCTGTGGCCACCTGGCGGGCCGAAGGGTTCATCGCTCGGGGTGTCGGGGTGTGAATGGTTCATCGCTTGCATTTTTGAAATCGGGTCTTTAAGGGGGTGCTGTATAGGTACTAAGAACCATTAGATGGAGACAGGTGTTCAGTACTGTTGCCCAGGATGAACTGATCTCCCAAACATGTCTACAGTGGAACACATCTTCGGATGATTTTTTGTGAAAGCGGAGGAATCCTATCATGTTTCGTTGGGTGATTGGGATCGGGATTTGTGATATCCATGCATTTCTGGAGCAAGGAGCAGGGAGTTCCTGTTCACCACACTAGCTGTGGAGTTGTTTAGAATGACTCGATTGCCGATAGCATGGGCTGCCTAATCTTTTTGGTCTTGACTGTTTGTCGCAGCCAGTGCACAGCTTCGGATTCTCGTGGGCTTCCACACAAACGACACTGAGGTTTGTCGAGATCAATGGGAAGCCTTGTCGCCCTTCTTCCAGGACCTTCTTTTCCCGTCACATCAAATCTCCAAAGGAACCCTGCCACAGGGTGGCTTCATGGTTTTGGAGGTCTAGGTCTTGACGATGGGGGGAGCAGGATTTGGCCCTCATCGTGCCCTCATTTTGCCGGAACTTCTTTTTGTGGTTTGTTCTGAAGGTTCTTTAAAAACACATACAGAGCAAATCAGAGCAATCCACTCTTCATTTTGGGGTCACCGAGTTCCCTCGTGTCCTGAGAAGAACAGCTTCCCCGCGTGCGATTCGGCTGATGAACACCCGCCAGGACGTGTGGAGCACCCATCGGGTGGCCTACAAGCGGCTGAACGGCTGCAAGCATGCCCCGACCATTGTCGACGGCCGGCAGCCACGGGAAGGCGGGAGAAGACGAGTCTACCCAGGTTCCGCTGGGACTAAGTTTCCCTAACAATCCAGGAACCAAATCATTAGCGCGAGCTATCCTGCGTCCTATCGGTAGTACTATTGAAACTACTAGCGGCCTACCCTTCCTCGCGCACGTGCGCGTGCGAAAAAGCTCCTACTACTGTAGCTATTCCCTTTTTACTAGCCCCCCCAAAAAGAAAACAAATCAAATCCACCCGACGTAGGTTCCGCTTTTTCGAGTTCATTGAATGACCACCTCAGGCAGCACCGAAGACCCACATGTGTGAGGTGGTTGAGATATATCTGCGTGCATGTAATACACAGATACACCGTGAGATGTACCGGAAACCCGTTGTTGGGCGTGCTAGTATTTTTGGATTCTGACATGCAGGACCATTCTCTTTGATTCCAAACACCTGGCAGGGTGCTCTGCTGCTTGAGATACGAAACCAACCCAGCTTCGTCAAAAACGGATCCAACACCACCAGAGTGCACAAAACCCTGAGACCTGAGAGGAGGTCCGTGCTTGGTCAGAGAAAACTCGGACCTTTTTAGCATCTTTCCTTGGCGATTTGGGAGGCTTGGGAGGTGGCAGACCGAAAAGAGTTTGCACCGACGTGCCATCTGCCTGAGGGCCGTCGAAACCGGACACCTTGGGTGGGTGCAAGTCTTCTTTTTTGCGTCGGGGTGTCGCACCTGGCGGTGCTTCAGCCCTCCGATGTTGATCGGAGTTCAGTGCCCTCTCGCTCCCTCAAATGGGTTCGAGAGCCCAACTCGTGATGGGTCAACCCTTCTCGGAATGAGATAGGCCCGACTCACAGTCCACCATCTTGAGTAGGATGGGTTGAATCGAGTGGTCGATTCACCGTCATTCCGATAAACCAATGGACAGCGGGTTCCCCAGAGTCCCCAATCCGGACCTCCCCCATCTGGTCATACCCACCTGTGGAGTACCGACTCTTGTGTCATCCCCACTCCTCGCATTCCAACGTGTTGCTCCGATCAATGTCGCTCCGCCTCGTCCACGGTTGTTCTCCGCGTACGGCGTGCGCCCATACGCTTGAGCGCCCTCCGCCCTCCGCCGTCCGCGACGCGCGGCGCAGGTGAGCCCGTGACGTCCGAGGAGGCGAAGCTCGACGGGTCAGGCTACAACATCACCGTGCGGAAGACCTTCATCGAGGCCCCCCGTGAGGGGTGAGCTGAAGCTTGGGCGCCGGGGAGCTGAAGGGGTGGTGGGCGTAGAGTTCGCCGGCGTGGCGAAAGCATATGTGTGAAGGCTACTAAGCATCCTAAAGCTCGAAGTAACTCACCGGTGAGACTAAGGTGGGACCCCAGGAAGCCAGTTTGAGAGAGCAGCTTGGGAGCTGGAATTGAAGAGATCTCCTTCACTAAGCACAAAAGGTGTTTCGGGAGTGTTGAGGACCCAAGCCGTTCAGACCTGCTAAGATGCTCGCGGCGATAAGACAAACAATCGCTTTTGGGTGCAATCATCCAACCTGGAACCTCCAGCATGATATATGAAGATATTGTAATAGGGATGGGTTGGAGAGCACGGTGGGGGGAATTGACACGGGCGTTTACACCCCGGTCCAAGCTCATTTACAGATGATAGCTAGCGGTTTTGTGCCCTGGGTTTGGATCCAGGGCACATGAAACCTCGGACACGGTGTCCACCGGAGCCCGGGTCAGACTTCATTTTATCCGAAATCAGGGGACAATTTCGGCCCCGATGCCCCGTTCTTTTTTGCTTCAATTTAAAGAGGATTTTTATTCCCTCACCTGCGCCGGAAGACAATTGTCCTCTACAGAGACGTGCTACTCAACATGAGGACGGTTGATGGTCGTACTCGAAAAACCCTGGCTAGTCAGGAATTGGATGGAATTCCTCTTCCCAACTGCTGGCAGGTGATCCGTTTGAGAAGAAAACGGATCAGTCATAGAGATGGATCCGTTACAATCTTCTCCGACCGACCGGGCGACGACCCTCTCGACCGAACCTCCAGGTGGGCGACGATGAAGAGCTCTCCTCCCCGGAACGCCGCCGACGGCGAGGGGCGCGGAGCAGTAGCAAGTAGCGGCGGGTTCGGCGGTTCCATCGCCTCCGCCCTGCGTGGGCCTTGCCGCCCTGCGTGGGTCCTGTTGAAATGCGAAGAACCACAAGCTAGCTGTAGCTGTAGACCTTGGAAACGCGAAAGCAAGAACTGCCTGAAAAAAGAGAGGTGTGTATTGTAGGAGATCCTCCAAAGTGTTAAAACGTCTCTTCGGTACACTCTTCACGAAACATTGTCAGTTCTAGAGGCACATTGTGTCCAGGAGCCCATTCTCGGATTCCACGCCATTTTTGGATGTAAACATACTTCAAAACCTAAAAAACACAGGGGATAAGGGTAAGGAAGCAACCGTTTGATGATTGTTCAGTGCTTCAGTGAGTTTTCAATAGACGCTCCAAGCCCACCTGTCGACCTGGCCTTTCCGTCTGGCCGACTGGACAATTGCAGATTGCGTGGCGGCACAATGCCTTGTACAAACAGGGCTCCCTAAGCTTTTCCTTGGATTTTGGCGGTTTGACCATCACTCAGCACAATTTTTGCCCACAGCTGGAGCAGCTTCCACGGCCAAACTGTTTTGGGAACTCCACATAGAATCGAAGCCTCTATTTGGGATTTGAAGTGGTTACTCAGACAGACAAGGAGAGACTCTACTAGGAGAAGCAAAGGGAACCTTTGCAGCCTTCGGACATTTTCACTGAAAAAGGAACTGAGCCAAACGCCGCGAGCACTGCGCATTGGCTTCTTTGTCCTTTGCTTGTTTGTTTGCGCACACACACACGCACACTAATAACTAATGCATACTAATGCATATACATGGTCATCAACATTTGATGGATAGATCATGATGATTGGACCCATGCGGTGTTTGATTGTGTTTGCGTATAGAGACTCGACACAAACACCTCAGAGAGACACTGGACACCGAAGGCGTATGTGCATGTCCATGGCCGGCTCTGTGAGGTTTTGCTTTCGAGGTGTGCGTGAGACCTGCCCAGGTGATGTGGTAACAAGTGGAAACCCGGCCTAGCTGCCATTAGCTGCCTAACTGGTCCTACCGAACGGTACAATGGTCTGGTGAACTGCGAATAGTAGTTGACCCTGACAATTGATTGCTCTTATGATGCAAACAACTCTATTTAACCCCCAGAACCACCGGTTTTTGCTCTCGCTTTCTCTCATAAGCAGATCATTCAGGGCTTGGGAATGTAGAACTTTACACGTGGGACATTAAATAATTGATGAAGAACACGCGCACAGGACATTTGCCGAACGTTACATGTCCCCGATTTCGATGGAAGATGTGGAAGCCAGTTGGGTTGTGTGTTGAAATCACCTCCACAAAAGACACACCTTCGACATTTGACGGGTGAGGGGAGTTGTTTTCGCTCCGATGCTTGTTGGAATCGTCAACAATGCTGACTGCTGACTAACCAGCATCCGAGGGAGGGAGGGAGGGAGGGAGGTTTTCACATCACCAGGATGAGTATCCAACATCTTCATGCAACTGGGGGCTTATTAATGTAGTAAGTCACCATGACCCATGACTCGAACAGTGAGGTCCCCGCTCCCATGACTCGGCGCACGCCGGAGTGTCCTCGTGGGGACTGAGGGCTAGACAGCAATCCCACCGGTGCAATGAACTGGAAAGTCCAGGACGGTGATCGTCGCCGGCGCGTTTTTCTTTTCGTTTGGTCTTCAGCTTCGACATTGGGAGATGAACATGTTTTCTTTTGGGGCGGAGTATAATCCGTAATCATCGGTCTTGGACAATAAGTGACCGGTCTTGGACCTGAAAAAGGACCGTGGCGGGCACGCGGACGGGGCACGGACGGTCGCCTTTTTGCGGGTTGTTCGGACCGAGTCGGCCTTGGGAGGAGTCAGGGGACCAGCACCGGTGGGTGCTTCTGTGGCGTTTCTGCAGGTTGACTCTCCGAAGAGAGTACCCTGTGGGTGATGGGTTGACCTAACAGGTGTCGCTCGGATATGCTACATGGTGGACTGGTGGGGCTCCAGGTCAGTCATGACCCCTCCCCAGAGGTAGTTCTCTCCAATCCGATCGAAAAGTCCGCTGGTCCACAGTCCAGTCTTCACTGATCGTTTACACAGGGCCCATGGTCGGGGGTGGTTTATGGACACCCCTTAACCTCTAGGATCTCATAAATAGACACCCCTTTTGGGGGGGCCCTGGTACAGATGAGAAGTCGCTCATTGGCTTGAGAGATGCTGTCGTTAGAAGATTCTTCAACGACTCTCCCATCGCTGATGAATCTGGTGATTTGTTCGTAACATGTATTTTGCATTTCCTTTTGCCACCAAGAACTCCATTGTTCACTGGGTGTGTCTCACCCTATTTGGGCTGCTACTAGGGTCAGAAAGTCTTTGTGTCAGGAGTCGTGTCACATGTCCTACTTCTTCGGAGTCGAAGCGAACGCCTAAAAGCTCCGCCGCCGAACGCCAGGAGTCGACGAATGGCTCTGGAACTTCGACGGATAACTCCTTGGTGCGGCCCTCGGCGCAGCCAAACCGTCGACGGGTCGACGGATCGTGACGGGTCAACACCGACAGCTTCGTCACTATCGTCGCGTGAGCTTGCGCGTGTAGAGGGAGCGAAAAGCAGCTCTCACCTCGGACGAGGGGGGGAAGGGGACATGTGGGTTTGGTCGTTTTTTTTTCGGTGTGCTCTCACTGGTCAGGCTTCCGCTCGACCTTTTTTGATGCCCAGAGTAAATCAACCAGAAGGGCCATTTCTTAAGGGATGACGATCTCTTCACACGCCATGAGATTCTCTCCCTCCCCCGAGTCAACCATCTGGAAGCCTGGAAGCATCACTTGCCCATCTGTGCCGTCTCAGACCGATCCAGGCACCGAATCACTACACGATCAACTACAACCAGGCCTACCTTTCTCCGGGTAGACACCTGGAAATGCTCTGCGGGCTTCGTGGGGCGTCAGAAGCAGCCGCTGGGCTGGGCCGCCGGGCTGGGCACCAGTG